AAACCATGAAATTAATAATAATTCCGCTCTGCCTATAACGAATATAGAAACGTCAATTAATTATAAAAACACGATTAATAATATTCCTACCATTTAACGCGTGGTATTCTACGAATAAGCTTTCTCACTCACGTATGGTATGGAACCTACATGTTCTTCACCAAAACATTTCGAAAGGAGTTCATCATAATCAATCACCCATAAGGTTCTCGGAAGCATTCGCGGCTGCCAGCTGTCGCGCGGTCACATTCAGACCCTCGTCATTTCCAAAAACTGACACAAAAAATTAAGGTAGCTACCGTGCAAACCCACGGTTCCGAGAATACAACAATTTAATATCATTTAATTGAATCAAAAACGACAATATTAGCCACCGAACTTCTACCTCTGAGAAGTCGTTACGCGCATGCCAATTTTTAATACCAAATTGATGGTGGTTAGGGCGTCACAGCGCGTTATCCTTGATGATCTCATAAAGTAATGTCATTAATTGGTTTTTGTAACTATTACGAGTAATTTTATTATTTTGTTTAGGTATCTACCTGTAGGTACCTACATATCATCTTTATTTATCGCCATGCACTGGTTATTAATTATTTTAACGAACACATCAGCACACTTCGACGAATTATCGTAATTAATATTAATTACGAGTACTTACATAAGTACTCATTAAAATAAACTTTTAACGCAAAAAATAACGATTTTCCCAATTTTTATTATTATTATTATAAAACTTTATTGCACAATAAAATAGTACAAAAGGTGGACTTAATGCTATTTGAGCATTCTCAGCCAGTCGACCACTGGGTTATGCAGAAAGCTGTGAGTGCGAAGATAGAGTAGAAGGGTAGAAGTTAAAATTGAAGTTAAATTTTTAATTGATATAATATTTAAGATACATATACCTACATACATACATACATATACAGGGTGTTAGGTGAATGGGTATATGAGCCGACACTAGCCCATGTCAACATGGGCATATAAATTTTATATTCTGGCTAAAAGCAGTAAGTAATATCAGTCAAATATCAGTTTAGCAGTTTCTGGAAAAGGTTAATCCTAGACTAAACCATACAAATTAAACTACAAAATCAGTGTGGGTAGGTATTCCTAGAAACATCGAAAAACAACAGTTTACGCACAGATTTTTTGTTTCTCGGAAAAGAAATTAGTTTGCTTCACACAATTAAGATGACGACGAGTGAAAATTAATGATGTCGTTTGTCACTTCAAAATAACAATCCGCTAAGAAATATTGGCTGGTCTTCAAGATTATTTGCAACGTGTCTTGATGTCTTTTGTCGTGTGTCGCTCGGATCGGGATTCAAAGATAGCTTTAAGCTTAGGTACATACTAATTTACTCAGCTCTTATTTTTATACCTTACTTATACAATATGGATGACTTTTGTGTGGGGATGCAATACCTACCTACTTATCAGTATGCACTCAATATTATCTGGTCAATTTTACACTGTGCCATATCCAGCCTCAAACTAAGCTAACCTAAGAGATAAGTTAGTTCTTACTTACTTATAATAACTACCTGGCACCTACTGCAATGCATAACAAATGTTTTCATTGTGCGGAAATCGAACCCGCGACCTCTAGTTTAGTAGTCCAGTATGCAAACCACTACTCCAAACGGCTGTCTTGGAGTGTGGTTCCTACAAATCTAACTTGGTAGTGCATTTTCAAGGAGTATTTTTAAGTTAATTAAATGGTAATCACTGGCACAACAGAAACGACGTGTTGTTTTGTTACATTGAGGAGTAAAAATTGAAATAAACAAAAAACATTCGGTATCCATTTCCGCGAAAAAAGGCTAATTAAGTTGAGGTGGGGACAGTGATCTGAGTCCAATGTTTCAGTTTTTTAGGCTTGCAGGCTGCACTGTGAAACAGCCATCGTACCGTCTACTCATTTATCTGAAAGACTAGTGGATATTTCTGGGAACTGCGCGTACCTATTGCTGTCATATAAATTCAGTGGTTATTGGGAAATTTGACTTTCATACTTTTATCAGAGCAGCGAGAGAAACTTTATTTATTCATGTTTCTAAGTAAACATGAATAAATAAAGTTTCTCTCGCTCCCTCGCAATCGATTGAAAAAGTGAATGTTTTCGAGATCATTGCAACACCATGTAGTTTCATTTATAATCGGAGAAATTGCAATTTAAATTTGAGCTTCAGTCAATGCTTGAGATTTGTGGAATTTAATATTTTGTGTCTAGTTAATTACCTAGCGACTCGCCTAAAGCTCGAGTCAAACTTAACATAAGATCGGCTGGATTAAATATTTAGTCCAATCTCAGGCTAAATCCGATCTTGAGTAAAGATTAATATTTGAGCGTTGTTGAGTGAAACTATCTGCGCTCGTCTTACCTAGGTATCATAGAATGACCGATACATTTCGAAGCTAACAAAACTAGATAACTGGAATTCTAGCAGACATCCTGCATATCGAATTTCTGACAGCCCACGCGGCAAATTGCGAAATCTATGCATATTACTTGTATAGAGCGTTTGAATTCGAACTGCGTTCTCGGAAGGCGAGCTTCGGCGTAGCAGCAACATTGGGAGTCGTTCGCGGTACCCGCCTTGCTATATACCAGGAATAAACCGCCCTCGGCCCTCCACAAATTAAAATTCGACATAATATCAATTAAATATCATCAAGACGGCAATATATCGAGTACCTATAGTCTATCCAATATAGCTTGATTAGAATGACGGCTGTCAAACGAATGTGACTAGTGCTGTGTATGTTTCGTACGGTTCACATAGACGTATCGATAAGTTTTCGAAAAAATTATATAAAAATATGCACCCAATTTTTCTTCATATCTTTATTCATAAAAATGACAATTATGATTTAAATTTCAAGATAGTAAAATTTAAAATTCATGTCAAGGGTGTACAACCTAAGTCGTAGTCATTATCATCAGTGTTCTTCAGTGGTTTTTTCCTCTCGCTAGAGGGCGGTGGGCATCTCTTCTAGAGCAACGGTGCTATGAATACCCAAAAAATTACCGGTGATTGATTTCCGATGTTTGATTATTTAAGAATGAAATGTTTTTTGGTTTTTAATAGTGAACATTTAGAAAAACGTATAACTTGACTTAAATATGTTAAAAAATTAGTTAGAAAAAAAATTTGTTAAATATGTTAAAAAAATAGTTTTAATTTAATATGAAATTTGTCGATATGTCCCAACACTAACATTTTTGTAACTCGAGATAACCTTGTAGAGACGTCGTTAATACTCTAGCTTGATTTTTATAATTTCGAATTACTACTTATTGGTGTAATTTAACGCTGCATTTACACGAAATTAACATTTTTATTGGAAGCACTGTCGTCGAAAATATTGTTTGTACGTCAGACGTGAATTATTTCTTGTCCGCCAATATTTAGCTCTCATTGATCGCTACTACAAAGTTATGTCGTTACTTTTGATGGCAGCTGTCATTCTAATCAAGCTATATTGGATAGACTATAGTGTCCCTACTTTTTCCATTTTTTGATAATGAATATTAGTAATTTGTAGTTAACTAATGTCCCTTTAAACCCTCGTAACGTGGCAGGTAAGCTAAATATGCTTGTGCTACCTTCGGCGCGGCGGGATTCGAACCCGCGTTCATCGGATCACGAGTCGGCCAATCCGACACCTTCACCGTTCGGATATCGTCGCTTCCATTATCCAACCAACAGTCAATATACCTCTCTTAAAAATGGACTGCTTAATTAAAATTAAGCCCAAACAGTGAGAAGTAACCGTCATCGTGTTACTAAAAGTTAGTGACAGCACGCGAACGAATATCAATTTCTAGCGAAATGATAACAATAACCAAATTGTATTGTAATGTTTCCGTGAAATATTGGTAGGTACGCGTGTCGTACAAGTACAACCCTCTACTACGTTCCTTGTTTGTTTCCATAATTGTACGTTATTTAAATTGGATGTGGAGTAAACGAGGATGTAATTTGTTGGAAATGAAACCGCAAACTCGCATTATACCTAAATCTAATACGGGGAAGCATTATCAATGTATTTCACTAATCAATGTAAAGGGACAAAACCATTGCGACTTCGTAGGATATACACAATTAGGTACAATTAATATTAAAAGTTACTTACATACTTAGATTACATAATGTAAATTGTAGAGCACCATTCGTCACAACAATTTCTCTGTTTGACCATAATCATACAAATAAAGTTCCTTATCAGTTCGCTTTGAAAAAATGAAATGAAATTATTTAGGTACACTAGATATTAAACTATTAAAACTAGCTAGGCAGGCTGGCCTTAAAACATAACTAGTCAGCAATTAAAGCCTACATTATTAATCCAATTCAATAGAAAACTTTTTTAATTGCATTACCAGAAGCCTATTATCCTGAATACTGAGCTAGCTTACTTTTTAAGTTAATAACATCGGAAATAGTTTCACAGAATGTAAAATATCGGCACAATCGGCTAATCATCGGATCGTACACGACACGTACTCGGAACTGGCTGAATCATTACATATTAGTAATAAAGATGGGGGTTTCCATTTGATGCCCATTTTCTAGCGAACTTGGAAGTCCTAACAAAGTAATAGCTTATGTATACTTTTTACCGAGAATATTCACTGGTTATTTTTCAGGAAATGGAAACAGCTCGTTAGTTTATACTTTTTGTTTGTACATCAAAATCTGTTCTGGGTATTCTGTCACACATTTATCCAACGAATATCAATGTTTTCTGTTATATCAACGAATTCATGAAAAACTGATGGACGGATGAATTGTTTGAAAGTTTGAAATTATAATGTAACAAGAATTTCAACCTTTCAAACAATCCATTCGATATCGTTTGGTGGGAAATATTAACGATGCTATTACAGCTATTTTTATTATAATCAATGCCATGGTGTTTAACTATAGCACCTATAGGCATAATTGCATATTCTCTGAACATTATTCTATTCCAAATAAAACCCAGTATAAAATGTATGGCATTTATTATCACAGCAATAATCATTAATAATTATCATTTCTTAAACAACATTATTTAAATTAACACTTTACGACACCCTCCTACGTTTCTTGCTGTTAGTTTCTTCGTCGCTAGCGTTTTCCTCCTCTTGGTCGCTGGCCACTGGTGAGATCATGACCGTCGCTGCGTCGTTTATCTCTTCTGTAACAAATATATGAGTTATTTATTTATCACATAGTATTATTTCCATATCAATCGAAACCTTAAAAGTCAAGACCACACACCACAAGAAAGTTTTTTTGTCTTTTTATTCCCGAAAACTTTACTCGCACAATTTTTAAATAATATTGGTTCTCTGGTTTGATTCACATTTAAAACTTTTGTGACGTCTATTTATATTCATAGTATCATATTTTTTGATAGTGAGAAAACATGAAAACCTTTTAACGTTTTCCCCGCAGCCCTTAAATTCCATACTAGAGATTTAAGCGATAAATTTGTTATTCGACCTTTTTTTTTTTGGACTATCCCGCGGATTTATTGCCGCGGTGATTCTGCCAATGTCAAGTGTTTAAGGAGACACATACTTTAGTCCGCTTCAGTAATATTTTAGATAGGTAATGCAGCAGTTTTTTTCCCTTCTTTTTTTTTTTTAAAAACCTTAAAACCACCACCTAAAACAACAACAAACATCACAGTCAAACGACACAACAATTATGTTATTAATGATATACAATGTAGGGTGGAGTTGCTCAAATTGTACCGGTTCGTAAATTGTACCACTTCAAAATCTACCAAACCGTAATGTTTAGTTTTAAATTGACAATACTAAAATCTAAAGGTAGCATTCGGATCAAGACGACCGCGACGCGAGACCGCGACTCGAGACCGCGACCGGCGACCGCGACCCACTGCTTTATATGAATTAATAGGAAGTGCTGACGGATGCAAGCGACCGAGTCGCGCGACGTGTGGGCGGGGCCTGCCGGCTACTTGCGTCGCGCGACTCGGTCGCTCACAAGGCAGTGCCGTGGCGCGACAGATGCAAAATGGCCGTGTTTTCTTCGCACGAAGACGAAATTTTAATAGAATTAGTAAGTAAAAACGCACCTGTATTCAATACGAGACTATTATTACTAATTATTCAAGCTTATAAAGATAATACTGTGAGAGACAATATTTGGGAAAAAATTGGAAAAGCATTAAATAAAACAAGTAAGTTCAAATGATACATATTTTTATTAGAAAAGGTACTTATTTTTATTGTTTACAGATAGGTACTATTTTACTTTAACTGCAAACATACTGAGTTTCGTATGGGTCGCACGACTCGTGTCGCGAAGATTCGTAAGTAGCTGTCGCCCTGCGACTTGCGACCGGTCGCCGGTCGCGGTCTCGAGTCGCGGTCTCGCGTCGCGGTCGTCTTGATCCGAATGCTACCTTAAGGCTACCAACATGACGCAATCGCTGCCATTTTGGACTCGATGTCACAACAGAGTGAAGTGTAGTAAATAAAAATAATTATTACGGCGACCTGATCTTATTTTATGGTTGTTTAGTGTTTACCTAAGGATTTCTTGTGGCAACGATAAATACATTTCAACTGTTATATATGTTTTTGGAAAGTAGTCATATTAGTGTACTTTTCAGAGAATATAGTTTTAATATTTAGCATTTTGAAGTTATGGCACCTGCTCACATAAAAATAAAACTTAGGGTTGCCTTATTTGTACCAGGTAGGGTACGCCTAATATGTACTTTTGTATATGTATGTACTTTTTAAAAAACTTTAATTATCGTTTTTAATATTACGTTTTCTCATTTTCTTGTAATAAAAAATGAACACCAATAGAACAACCTTTTGATTTCTAGTAATATAATGCTCTTAAGTTACATAGTTTTTGTGACAGCTTGTAAAGTTCGTTAACTGGTACAATATAGGCAACTTTACCCTATTATGACTCTGATACACAGATCAAAAATATTCCAGTGAAAGTGTTAAATAACATAAAAACAAAAATTTTCAAAGAACCCTCCCATTTCAGACAATCAAATTGCCCACAAAATTGCGATTTTCACAGCGAATTGTTTCAAACGAAAAAATGTTGGCACACGATTGAAATTTACGATCGCGCTTAGAGGAAAGTAGCGCCGGCGCCGGAATTTTCGTTTGAAACGAGCCAACAAATCGGCGGGTTTGCCCCGAAATATTGCCAAGGTGACTTTGATATAAACAAGCACTGAAAAACAAAAGCCGATTGAAGTGAAGCTTTGAAAGCAGACTTTTATGATAATAATCAAGAATGCAGTTTGAAACATTTTATTTTAACCTACTTCAATGTAACTGTCGTGTGTGAGGTCTCTTTGGGAGACTTATTACTTACTGAGTACAAACTAGAGTCTAATATGGGAAATTTGTGAATTCCCGCAGCTTTTACAGCCTTTATATCTGAAGGCCAGTAAAAAATGGCCACTTTTATACCTACTTAAATCTTTGAAAGGTTACATTATCTAAGTAACAAAAATACGTTTAATATTTTCGTAGAAATGATCTTTTTTCCTGTCTTCTCCAGGCATAAACAATAATAAATAGACACAAGACAAAAATACACCCAAAGCAATCTTTTACTTGGGGAGTGAATGCGGAGTCTTTGTCGTAATACCACTCAACCACTACACTCAATACTGCCTATAGCACATACCATTGTCCCTAGTTTCGTCTTGGTCGTCAGCGGTGGGCGGGCGCGCGTTGAGAGCTTCCTGCAGCAGCGGCTGCCGGATCCGAAAATCGCGAGCGGTGCCCGGCGACAAGTAGTGTTGCAAGTTCAACTGCGAATAAAAGGTGAATGATATGGCAACATTAAGCTCCTGCTTAAAAAGGCTTGAATCCAGAGGTAAAAACACTGCCTCATTAGTCGATGTTCACGCGTTCAAGTGTCATATACAGTATTATACAGGCTGTTTGGAAGTTAAGAACTCGGCTAAAATAGTTTACTAACTTTTCATACATCTCCCACACAAGGAACATTTTGCTACGTGTAGCGCCACCTAGTGACCGCAGATGTGACTAACTACTACAACGAGAGCGCGCGCTTTTAGGTCTGATTCACACATTCATACACCAAAGGCGAATAAATTCAAAGTTCAAATTGTGGGAATATCGTGATATCGTATCGATAAAATTCACATGTTTTCAGGTAGGTATTGACTCTTAATGACTTTAAAATATCCAGGTATAATACATTTAAGTTTTGGTGGTTTCAGGTAGCAAATGCAGAGTAGAATTAATTTGTGTTTTGCCAAACTAGAATGGCTTTTTGCTGATGCCGGGGCAGTTCCAAGCACGATTTATCACCATGCACATGGGGTGTAATACACTCATGTACTCTTATTTGTATGTATTTATAAATACGTGCAATAATTATTAGATGGAATTTAAACCTTATTACAGCGTATTCTACACTCGATGTACGAGGCAGGTGTACCATAGACACGCCGGCTGCACCATAGACACTAGCTGTACCTTCGCCCGGTTGGCCAGCAGGATGACGTGGTTGCTGAACTGCTCGGCCTCGGCCACGAGGCGCGGGATGAGCTTGGTGTCCTGCAGCACCCGGCTGGCGCGCTGCTGCTGCTGCGACAGCTCGATGTACGAGATCAGGTTGTCCGTCACGCCTGACAGCTTCTTGCCTGACAGCTTGAGGAGGCGTTCGAGGCTGGAAGAGAAAGTTGTATTCGTAAATTGAGCTATGACATTATTATGCGATAACAGGGTTAATATACGATATCAGGTTGTCCATCACGCGTGACAGCTTGAGGAGGCGTTCGAGTCTGGAAAAGGAAGTTGTGTTCATTTTAGCTATGACATTTTAATGCATCCTGTCGCATTAAAAGATTTGGTGGTGAAGATTATAGACTTTTAATAAAGACTTTTAATAAAGACTTTTAAAAAAAAACAAGTAACTATCGCCAGGTTACAGCGTTAATAGAGTTGCAGTAGTTCTAACGCCAACACAACTCGGCGCTATAGCGCGACGTCAGGCTATCACTCTTGCACGCGCTAGGAACGATTCTTTTTAACGAAGCCTTAAGGGTTCCCAGATCTACATATTCATTAAAAAAAAAAGAACAGATGTTATGGATAGACTGCGGCTTCCCGCAGTCTATCCACAACATCTGTTCTTTTTTTGCTGCATTGATGCGGGCAACATTGGCATGTATTTGCGAGGACGTCAGACGACGGCACCTCATACTAAACATTTTGACATGTTTGCTATAGTTGCTGTTTACGAGTCTGTTTTCATTATTGTATTTAGACAGAGCGGTCTGATCCTAACACAAGTTGATAAAACTTAAAAGGATTAGATCCAAAACTTTGTTATGTGACTTGTTTGTACGAATAAAATATTTTTTGTATTTTTTTTGTTTAGCGACTACAACTGATTGTCTTTACTTTTACGAATAAAACGAAACAATCAACACAAAACCCAACTCAACAGCAAACAACCAATATTCATATTTTCGAGAACTAATATTACCGTGAAAAAATAAAGATACACCGAAAACAAATAATCCCGAATTAGTAATGTTACTTCGAAAAATATGAGTTTACAGACAGACATTCCGTTTGGAACCGAGTTTTGTTCTCGGAATTCATTCCGCAGATCGAAAAGTATACAAACCGAAACGGTTTATCGGAAAGATTTTTAACGAGTGACTCACGGAGAAGTGAAGCGTTTAATTTCACGACGGTACTAGGAAAAGTTATTTGCAAAGATACAACCGGGAATTCCGAGTCGGCGAACTGGTTGACGCAAGAAAGAACACCCTAATTCAATGACGATTGAATTAGTTCTTTAGAATGTTGTTGAAAGGATTTCCAATGTGCGTAATCACGTTGATTATTATGTCATTCAAGTTCAATTTGTTTTGCACGAATAATATGACATCACCAATTTTTAAGGTAAACATTTCGGAGAAATATGGTTTATTCGTGTGTGTGTAATTTATAATTGGGGATTTGCAGTTCACACCACTTCGATCTACCTAGTTATGAAAACAAGATTTGTTTTCAATTGACCGCTAAAAATTTATTGATAAGATTTTTTGTTGCTCCCACCTTTAGGCAATTCGTTATTTTTATTTCAAGTTATTTTAAATTTAGTTTGAGATGCGACTCTTAACGCTAGATTTAATAGCTATATGATGATTAATGTGGGTAAAGTGATTACTTCAGCTATGTACCGCAGACTCGGCTCAATGTCAGCTGACAGCTGGGCTATGTAGCGCGTATAGCCTCACGCAGCAGCGCAGCTTGCCAACGCGCTACACGCAGCCTGGCTGGCATAATTACCTACAGAACTCTAGGTCCAACAGTATCTAGTCCTGCAAGTCCTGTAAGTTTCTAGAAAGACTTGTATATCAACCTACCGTAGACTCGGCGCGATGTCAGCTGGCAGCTGCTTCATCAGCTGGGCTAGCAGCGCGTATAGCCTCACACCAGCTGCCAATACGCGGTCGCTGCCCACGCCCACGCAGCAGCGCAGTTTGCCCACGCGTGATACGCAGCCGGTTAGCTGGCATAGCTCTAGGACTCTAATCCTACAAGTCTCCAGTCCTGCAAGTCTCCAGCCCTGCAAGTTTCTAGTCCTGCAAGTTTCTAGTCCTACAAGTCTCTAGTGCTGTAAGTTTAGTCCTGTATGTCTAGTTCTGCAAGTCTCTAGTCCTACTAGTCTCTAGTTCTGTCTGCATGTCTAGACCTGCAAGTCTCTAGTCCTGCGAATCTCTAGTCCTGCAAGTCCTGTAAGTTTCAAGAAAGACTTGTATATCAACCTACCGTAGACTCGGCGCGATGTCAGCTGGCAGCTGCTTTATCAGCTGGGCCAGCAGCGCGTATAGCCTCACACCAGCAGCCAATACGCGGTCGCTTCCCACGCCCACGCAGCAGCGTAGCTTGCCCACGCGTGACACGCAGCCTGTAGCTGGCATAGCTGCAAGTCACTAGTTCTGCAAGTCTCCAGTCCTGCAAGTCTCTAGTCTTGTGAATTTCTGGTCCCGTGAGTCTCTAGTCCTGCAAGTCTCTAATCCTGGAAGTCTCTAGTCTTTCAAGTATCTATAGTCTATCCAATATAGCTTGATTAGAATGACAGCTGCCATCAAAAGTAACGACATAACTTTGTAGAAGCGATCAATGAGAGCTAAATATTGGCGGACAAGAAATAATTCACGTCTGACCTACAAACAATATTTTCGACGACAGTGCTTCCAATAAAAATGTTAATTTCGTGTAAATGCAGCGTTAAATTACACCAATAAGTAGTAATTCGAAATTATAAAAATCAAGCTAGAGTATTAACGACGTCTCTACAAGGTTATCTCGAGTTACAAAAATGTTAGTGTTGGGACATATCGACAAATGTCATATTAAATAATTTTTTTACATATTTGACAATTTTTTTTTCTAACTAATTTTTTAACATACACTCAGCGGCACGGAATTTGGCCCAAGCCTAAACAACCAGATATGAGGCCAAATAGGTGTTGTATACCTAAGTTTCGTGTGACATAATAACATAACATTTGTTTTTGTTAATTTAAGAGGCTAGATTCATAAAAAAATGCGTCTGTTTAACTTCTTTGACTCTAGAAACGCTTTTCGTTGTTGGAGCGTAAAGAGTTCGGGTAAGTTTAAATTCGATATTAAATGTTGTAAGGGTTTGGCGTTTTGTTTTTTGTTTTTAAATTAATCTTAGGATTATTCTCGTTTCTATAATTTGAGAATAATGCCCATTACTCCAGCTCAAGTTGCTCAAATAGTGTTGCTTAGAAGTCAAGGGCGTATGCAGCGGGAGATGGCTGAAACTTTCAATTTATGGCGTACAAACTTAAGATACACGTTAAAAAGGCATGACCAGACCGCCTTTTACACAAGAAGACCAAGAAGTGGGGAATTAAGGTGTATATCAGCGCACGATGACCCGATTATCGTGCTTGCAGTATCAAGAAATCGGGTTCTCACTACGTTTGAGATACGTCAGCGTTTACAAACAGCAAGCCCAGTGAATGTCAGTGAGCACACAATAAGAAGAAGGATGGAGGATCATAACCTGCATACTTGAAGACCAGCTCGAGGACCGAACTTCTCCGATATCTTCGCGAAGTGCGACTTACGTTTTCTAGAGAACATGCAAATTGGACGCAAGGCTAATGGAGTATCGACTGAATGCGCGAGCGCGTACGGAGTGGCAGCGCGCTGATATTGAGTGCGTGTGGGTCACAGTGGACGGCCGATCAATAGGCTTGCTAAATAACTTGCACATAGCGCTGGCTTACATGGCGCCGGATCGCGCGTTGCCTTCTCGTATAAATCTTTTTACCACCATTACGAGCGTCCATGTAAACCAACCGTAACACCTCATCACACACACTATGACACTTTACCATACACTACACACTTTCAATACACTGACCATGCGATAATGCTTGTTTATTTTACTTTAATCTAATTTAGTCTAATTTAATTTATAATATTTATTTTCACATTTATAAAGTTTATGTAAATACATAAGTAATTATTATTTGATTAGTGACTCGGAATTTCACACCCAGTTCACATGTAATTTGCTTACTTAGTTTTGAATTGTTTTAGTGTTCACCTACCTACCCACGTTAACTTATTTAAAAATGTTTTAGTAATAGAATGTGTTTCTTTAATTGGCTTATGTTCAAGTTGTATCTTCCTGCACATTTATGTACAATTTAATGCTGTTGAAACATTGTTAAACAAATAAAATAAAATAAAAAATAAAACATTTAATATCGAATTTAAACTTACCCGAACTCTTTACGCTCCAACAACGAAAAGCGTTTCTAGAGTCAAAGAAGTTAAACAGACGCATTTTTTTATGAATCTAGCCTCTTAAATTAACAAAAACAAATGTTATGTTATTATGTCACACGAAACTTAGGTATACAACACCTATTTGGCCTCATATCTGGTTGTTTAGGCTTGGGCCAAATTCCGTGCCGCTGAGTGTATTTAAGTCAAGTTATACGTTTTTCTAAATGTTCAATATTAAAAACCAAAAAACATTTCATTCTTAAATAATCAAACATCGGAAATCAATCACCGGTAATTTTTTGGGTATTCATAGCACCGTTGCTCTAGAAGAGATGCCCACCGCCCTCTAGCGAGATGAAAAAACCACTGAAGAACACTGATGATAATGACTACGACTTAGGTTGTACACCTTGACATGAATTTTAAATTTTACTGTCTTTCAATTTAAATCATAATTGTCATTTTTATGAATAAAGATATGAAGAAAAATTGGGTGCATTTTTTATATCATTTTTTTGAAAACTTATCGATACATCTATGTGAACCGTACGAAACATACACAGCACTAGTCACATTCGTTTGACAGCCGTCATTCTAATCAAGCTATATTGGATAGACTATAGTCCTGCGAGTCTCTAGTTCTGCATGTCTCTAATCCTACAAATCCTGTGAGTATCTTAGACTTGTCAACTACGTACCGCAGACTCGGCGCGATGTCAGCTGGCAGCTGCTTCATCAGCTGGGCTAGCAGCGCGTATAGCCTCACACCAGCAGCCAATACGCGGTCGCTGCCCACGCCCACGCAGCAGCGCAGCTTGCCCACGCGAGACACGCAGCCTGTCAGCTGGCATAGCTACAGGACTCTAGTCCTGCAAGTCCTAACTCTGCAAGTCTCTATCCGTGCAAGTCTCTATCCGTACAAGTCTCTAGTCTTGCAAATATCTAATCCTGCAAGTCTAGACCTGCAAGTCTTTAGTCCTGTGAGTGTTTAGTTCTGCATGTCTCTAATCCTACAAATCCTGTAAGTCTCTAGACTGGTATATCAACCTACCGTAGACTCGGCGCGATGTCAGCTGGCAGCTGCTTCATCAGCTGGGCCAGCAGCGCGTATAGCCTCACACCAGCAGCCAATACGCGGTCGCTTCCCACGCCCACGCAGCAGCGCAGCTTGCCCACGCGTGATACGCAGCCTGTCAGCTGACATAGCTGAAGAACTAGTGACTTGTAGAGTTCGGTTAGTTCTGCAACAAATAGTGGGTAAGAACATTGGAGAAGCGATAAAAAAATATTTGGAAAAAACATTGCTTGAGATATAGATTGTCCGAGATTTTTTTAGCTCACCAGAAGTTGGACTATTAAGAAGTCATTAATCCATCTTTAGTGGCATATTTTTTATGGAAATCTATTTAGAAGAAAAAATTCCATATTAGGTACGCACAATCGTAATTTGCAATCGCGAGATTCGCTTCAAGGATCACCGAGCTGGAAAAGGTTGGTTCCAGGGGGTCGTAACTTATTTGATGACGTGCCATTGCACCATTATGCTAGCAAGTGTTCTGCGCGCTTGAGACGATAATTGACGTGAGTGACGTGAGCGCACAGATACGTCAGCAACGTGTGACCCGACCGGGAATCGATCGTTAGCGGAAAACTAGTCCCAAGATGGTGTTACTTTTAATGCTGCGCAATTCGGGATGGAGAAGACACTTTAAGGGACGCCGAGATGGAAAAGGTGCATTATGAAGGACATGTCTTTCATAATAACATGGAATGATGACCCTCTTCAGCCAAGCGAACCCAGCAATTAAGAGGAGACTCTAGCTGGTCTAATGAGGCAATAGGCCTATATCAAGTTATAAAGCACCTACCTCTTCTGATCCTCTGTTGATGCTGGTGCGGCGCGGTTACCAACGCCGCGTTCAAGTCCCGAGCGCGCGCTAGCAAGTGTTCCGCGCGCTTCAGGCGATTGTTGACGTGAGCGCACAGATACGTCAGCACCGTGTGACCCGACCGGGAATCGATCGTTAGCGGAAAACTAGTCCCAAGATGGTGTTACCTTTAATACAGCGCAATTCGGGATGGAGAAGAGACACTTTAAGGGACGGTGGGATGGAAAAGGCGCATTATGAAGGACATGTCTTTTATAATAACATGGAATGATGACCCTCTTCAGCCAAGCGAACCCAGCAATTAAGAGGAGACTCTAGCTGGTCTAATGAGGCAATAGGCCTATATCAAGTTATAAAGCACCTACCTCTTCTGATCCTCTGTTGGTGCTGATGCGGCGCGGTTACCAACGCCGCGTTCAAGTCCCGAGCGCGCGCTAGCAAGTGTTCTGCGCGCTTGAGACGATTGTTGACGTGACGTGAGCGCACAGATACGTCAGCACCGTGTGACCCGACCGGGAATCGATCGTTAGCGGATAACTAGTTCCAAGATGGTGTTACTTTTAATGCTGCGCAATTCGGGATGGAGAAGAGACACTTTAAGGGACGCCGAGATGGAAAAGGTGCATTATGAAGGACATGTCTTTTATAATAACATGGAATGATGACCCTCTTCAGCCAAGCGAACCCAGCAATTAAGAGGAGACTCTAGCTGGTCTAATGAGGCAAAAGGCCTATGCCAAGATATAACAACACCTACCTCTCCGGATTCTCTGTTGGTGCTGATGTGGCGCGGTTACCAACGCCGTGTTCAAGTCCCGAGCGCGCGCTAGCAAGTGTTCCGCGCGCTTAAGGCGATTGTTGACGTGAGCACACAAGTACGTCAGTACCGTGTGACCCGACCGGGAATCGATTGTTAGCGGAAAACTAGTTCCAAGATGGTGTTACTTATGATGCAGCGCAATTCGGGATGGAGTAGAGACACTTTAAGGGACGCCGGGATGGAAAAGGTGCATTATGAAGGTCATGCCTTTTATACTGACATGGAATAAGGACCTTCTGTCAAGCTAACCCAGCAATTAAGAGGAGACTCTAGCTGGTCTAATGAGGCAAAAGACCTATGCCAAGATATAACAACACCTACCTCTCCGAATCCTCTGTTGGTGCTGATGCGGCGCGGTTACCAACGCCGCGTTCAAGTCCCGAGCGCGCGCTAGCAAGTGTTCCGCACGTTTGAGGCGATTGTTGACGTGAGCGCACAGATACGTCAGCACCGTGTGACCCGACCGGGAATCGATCGTGGGGAAGTCGGTTGACTCTTCGCCGGCTGATGTGTCTTCTTCCTGATGGGGTATTTGAGATATTAGAGGTAGGAGATTAGAGACTACGCATTTTCATCGTCATTACAGATACTACTAAAGCCCGGTCTGTGAGCATGTAGAATTTTGTCCAATGACCCCTAGCCCCTAGCTACCCATCCTTATCGTCCACGCGTAATTATATTGCTGTCGCGACTGTGCGACTGGGTGCAGAACAGAAGCAGTGAGTGTGCGAGCGCGATAGCAACATAATTACGCGCGAGCGATAAGGATGGGTAGCTTGGGGTCATTGGACAAAATTCTACGTGCTCACAGATCAGACTATAGACGCAAGCCTTTCCCAAAAAGCGTCAAATTGTACTCATCATCACATATCTGAACATAGGCCTCCATGTTGCCCGGTTGGTAGCGGCCTACGTCCAGCGTCTTCCTGCTACCTTTATGATGTCGTCGGTCCACCTTGTGGGTGGACGTCCCACGCTGCGTTTTCCGGTACGCGGCCTCCACTCCAGAACCTTGCTGCCCCATTGACCGTCAGTTCTGCGTACTATGTGCCCTGCCCATTGCCACTTCAGCTTGCTAATCCGTCGGGCTATGTCAGCGACTTTAGTTCGTTTACGGATCTCCTCATTTCTGATTCGATCTCTGAGCATAGCCCTCTCCATAGCACATACAAAATGCAGTCCATAGCAAAGTGTACTATTTCCATTTTTCATACACTGCCAACCAGATGGTTGGTTGATATAAACTATTCTGATAAAACAATGTAAATGTTCGAAAAAAGATAACTGATGACATTCACACAGTTTTTAATCATGTAGAATAACGAAATTATATTTGTTATAAGGATGAGATTACAAATAAAATACAGTGAACTTAAATATGACGAGAACGGGTGGGCTCTCGTCATATTTAAGTTCACCAGGATTTTTTACAGTACAGTAAAAAAAATTGTACAGTACCTGGTACAGTAGTACCAGGATTTTTTACATAATCCTGTAGTACACTTACATCAACTCTTCCTAGTGCAGCAGCTAGTTTGGTTAGCAACTGGTCCACAAATTGGGCCTCCAGTTGTGCGCGGCAGCCGGCTGAAAGCACGCCTGGTAATAACGCCAGGCAGTCTTGCTTGCTGGTCCGAAGGTAATCTTCCAGCTTTATTATCACCTGCCGAAACACCGTATTGATTAAGCCTCGCTATAGTCTGGTCTGTGAGCACGTAGAATTTTGTCCAATGACACCAAGCTACCCATCCTTATCGCTCGCGCGTAATTATGTTGCTGTCGCGCTCGCACACTCACTGCGGGCGCCCGTCGCACAGTCGCGACAGCAATATAATTACGCGCGAGGGATAAGGATGGGTAGCTTGGGGTCATTGGACAAAATTCTACGTGCTCACAGACCGGGCAATGATCAACTGTTAGGTATATTAACATTTATAAAACAAAGTCGCTTTCCTATCCAGTCTGTCCCTATGTATGCTTAGATGATAGATCTTTAAAACTACGCAATGGATTTTGATGCTTTTTTTTTAAATAGATAGTGATTCAAGAGGATGATTTTTAAGTATTGTACATTGTATCTATGCGAAGCAGGGGCGGGTCGCTAGTTTTTTAATATAAAAGACGTATGTGGTTTGCTAAATGGTATGTGATAACTAACCACCGCCTATTTACAGGACTAGAAGAGTTCCCAATACGTCGCTTGCCTATGATAAAATAGAAATTTTCACCGATTGTTGAACTTTAGTACTAATCTAACTCATATTCTACCATTGTAAAAATAAGATTTAAAAAATCAGTACCACAATGATACTTACCCCGCTCAACTTCTGGCAAGGCACGACCGGCACGTCTAGAAGTAAGGCCGTGGTCTGCACGAGAGCGGCGAGGTGCTTCTTGACCGACAAATCGCGCTCTTCAGCCACGGCCTCTTCTTCCACCAGCTCGAAGGCGGCGAGCAGCTGTTCCAATATGGCCGCCAGACCTACTGACGCTGTGCAGTCTGGGATACCAGCTGTTGGACGAATTAGAGATGAATAAATAAATAAATCTTTATTTCCAATCCGATTAAGAGCGGATTCGACCAAACAAGAGTAAATATTATTAATCTCAGAATAAATCGTCAGTTTCGACATATTTCCCATACTGAAACTGTCAATGTGCTAGTTACACCAGAGTTATTCTCGGATAAAAGTTTGGTCGAATCGGGCCTTAACAAACAAGTTTTTAATAGCATAAGCAGCGCTTATTATTATTCTGTGGCATAAGCAACAAAAAATGCTTACAGAATTTCTATTATACTACAACTTACTTATTAGCGGTAGTACACTCTCGATTTTCAACGATTGATTCGGTGATAGAAGTAATGTGAGGCACGCTTTGAAGACCTCAATACATCCCAAAGTGGTTTGATCATCAAAGTCGCACATGTCTTGGAATCTGCAATATAATTTCAATCACGATCATCATCATTATGATATTTAGTCTCTTCTGGAGGAGAGGTGCCCTCTCTAATTTATAAGAGGCAAATGGAGGATTTGTCCAACAATCCCCATTTTGCTAGGAGGGTTGGAGGCATAATGGTCGCATATGTGTCCCTTAGTCGCCATTAGCGGGATGCATGAGAACAGTTTGGTTATAGGGAGGGCTTTACCAAAAGCTGTAAGCATTTTTAGCGAGACCATAGATACATAAATAAGTTAGTAGTAGGCCTTTTTTTGATCCTACGATTTTACGTGTACTAGTAGGACTTTTTATTCCCACTCCTAGGGCTATATTTCACCGGGACACCATGGCGGCGCAACCAGTCGCCGGCTACCAACAAAATGTATGCAGCTCTATAGAGAGTTACTCACCAGGACACCAGGTGGTGTCAGTTTGGTTGCGAAAAGCTGCATACATTTTGTTGGTAGCGGCGACTGGTTGCGCCGCCATGGTGTCCCGGTGAAATATAGCCCCTACTTGTTTATGGTTATTATTACCTGCACAGACACCTCGTGTACATAACTCGAGCGACCTTAGGCGCGTACTTGGCCAGCTGTCCCTTATCCAAGTGGTCGTCAGTCACCACAGAGGCTACACACCGCAGAGTCCAGTGGTGGAAGTCCCGGCGACCGCGGAGCTGGTTCCTTTGTTCGAGGGATGACCAGGGGACTTCCTCGCTAGTTAAAAAAAAAGGTTTTATTGCGATACATAATGTAACTGTATGAATGTAAAATTGTAGTGGGCGCTTTGCTTTATGCTACAACGGAAGCATGCGAATTCAACTAACGAATGACTTCGTAAAACACTGGCATTATGTGGTTCTTAATTTTGCAACCAAAAAAATAATATGTACTGCTGTAATTTCCACGAGCATTACCGTTTGGCGTGAGATTATTCGTTATTTCAGGGTAAATAGAAAACATTCGCAGCCTTTTAAATAAACCTACGCATTCCCCCGAATATTAGCTAAATCCAATTCGTAATAATGGCAATAACTTGTGACTGTGAGTAAACTCTGTAATCCTGGATATTTCCTAACAATGAATTTTAATTTTAGTATAATTGTGATCAAGAACTCTCAAATACCTGTACAATAGCTCTACAATTCTATAACAGAACCGTAGATCCCACACACACGGTAGCGGCTTGAACGGGCCAGCCCTGTCCTTGGTTAGAGCCGATATCTTGACGGGCCCCTTGCCTTTATCCTTCTGCGACTTTTGGCTCTTTTGCGTCTTTACTGTCTCCTTCGTTTCGTTCAGCGTTTTGTTGCCTTTCTTGGACTTTGGTGGTGCCTAAAATAATGAGTTATTGTGTTAGTAATTCACACTGATGAAGAATGGAACTGGTTATTATTTTACTTTTTATTCAAGACTAGCTGACCCGGTGAACTTCGTACCGCCTTAGCGTAGAGATTTTCTTAATATTTTTTTCCGTAAGAACCATCCTTGGACTTCCACAAACATTTAAAAAAAAGAATTATCGAAATCGGTTCAGCCGTTCACACGTGATGCCGTGACAACGCGAAACGGGTTTCATTTTTATATATATAGATACTACAACCGCGTTTACTTCAAACTTGTTATTAATTCAATTTAAAAAATCATACCTATCAAAAGCCAGCTTTTGTCAAAGGGTTTGCCCGCTTTGATTTCGATTTAGATAAGAAATATTTTTAAATTGATCGGGCAACACATCGATCGGCAGAAATAACGAATTTCACAAATTATTTTTGCGGCTCTTTAGTCGCTAAGTAGTCGCATAAATAATTAAACTATAGACTAAACTTTAGTATATCTGTTACGGTCAAAGTGATAAATGTGAAAATTATGAATAATCGGCGGTTATTATGAATAATTACCGCATGATTTGGTAAATGTGATTAATATGAGATCATTTATGTGTGTATAAAACTAAATAGGCGGCTTAGGGGTGGCCCAAGGGCCACCCCCGCCGCACCTTAACCTATTTTTCACTTTAAATCAAAACAATATGTTATAGGCATCATGGAAAAGTAATATTTATTTATTTATTTATTTATTTGAACACCAACAAGGTTACATTGAGGCTTCTTGCAAACTTTACAAACAAACAAAACAAACAAAATGCAAACTTAATTATAGGTGAAAACATCATGCGTTAGAGACTAAAGCAACAGCAATATATATAAATATTATGCAAGAAACATTCCAAACTCATTATGCCAAATTATATTAATATATGATATCAAAACGTTCAAAAGTTTGGCTGTACACGAGCACGTACACAAGATGTTGTTCTCTTTTATGAAATTTGTTAGTACTAAGGTTGAATTATCAAAAAATCACTGTTAAATGTGATTAATTTATCACTTTTACCGCGACTGTCTGTAATTATTCATAATAACCGGTTATTATTAATAATTTTCAATTTATCACATTAACCGTAACATATTTATGAGATGGTCATCCTAGGTCACATCTACCTCTAAGCTCAGATTCAATATAACTGTTCAAATATTAGACAGAGACAATTAAATACACAATTAAATTTTAAAAAAAATACTTGTGCCTTAATATTGGTGTGTATTACCTTGGTTTGCTCCAGTAGCTGGTTACAAGCTTTAAACAGGCTGTAGACTTTGGCCGCCGCGTTGGTGCTGCTTGGGCCCCATTGCATGATGCGGTGTGCGATCAGCGCCTCATAAATTTGCAGGATTTGCTGCACTTTCAGACATTTGGCTCTGCTTTCCGGCAGGAGATCGGTTAGGGATGGGTCCTCCTGGAAAGATAAAGATTATAAGTCATGTACTTGGTATATATGACCACAATTTTAACTTAAGTTGCTTGTATTAAGGTCTAATTCTTTCGAACGAATATAATCACAAATAGGAGACGGAAGCTTCTAGCATAGTAGTCAAGTACGCGAACCACTGGGCTTGTTAAGGACTTCAACAAGCTACAAAATCATCATCATCATCATCATCATCATTTCAGCCATAGGACGTCCACTGCTGAACATAGGCCTCCCCTAATGCTTTCCACGTTGATCGATTGGTAGCGGCCTGCATCCAGGGCTTCCCTGCTACCTTTACGATGCCGTCGGTCCACCTTGTAGGTGGACGTCTCCGACGTTTTCCGGTACAAAATACAAATATCTCACCAAATCGATCCGCCCCAGGTTTCCATTGAGAGGACGTCTTCTAGGTTCTCCTATTCCGTGACTGGTAGGAACTGCTTATGGCAAACAAGAGGCCGAAGCTTCATGAATACTACGAGTATATTCAAGTATGGGCATCTTAAAGACTTCCCAAACCACAAAATGTCTTACCAATTCGATCTGCCCTGGGTTTTCGTTGAGAGGATGTCCTCTGTGGCCTGCAGAAACTGCTTACAGCGAACAGGAGGTGGCAACTTCTAGCATAGTAGTCTAATACGCAAATCACTGGGCTTCTTAAAGACTTCTCTTATATCTTACCAAATCAATCTGCCCCAGGTGTTCGTTCCCGCATACGGTCTCTAGTACACTAGCGAGCTTGCTCTTCAAGTACGCGGCGGCGGTGTCGGCCGCCTGGCTGGAGAGGATGTCTTCCAGGTCCTCCTCCTCTGTGGCTTGAAGGAACTGCCTACCGCGAACAGGAGGTCTAATATCCTTACTTTGGGGCTAGATGGCGCTGTGTGAAATTGTCCAAAGATAGTCAAATACGACAATCACTGGGCTTCTAAAAGACTTCAACAAGCTACAAATATGTCACCAAATCGATCTCCTCTAGGAAGAGGAGGATTTTCTCTACCTCCTTCTCGTCTGTGGCTTGAAGAAACTACTTACCGCGAACAGGCGGCTACTTCTAGCATAGTAGTCAATGCGAACCACTCGTTCTTAGAGACTTCCCTTATTACACAAGGTTCACGAACCAGGGCTTCTTAGAACTTTCCCAGATTACATGTCAAATGAATGACAAATGTCTCACCAAATTGACCTGCCCCAGGTGTTCGTTCCCACATACAGTCTCCAGTACACTAGTGAGTTTGCTCTTCAAGTACGCGGCGGCGGTGTCGGCCGCCTGGCTGGAGAGGATGTCTTCTAGGTCCTCCTCCTCGGTGGCTTGAAGAAACTGCCTACCGCGAACAAGAGGCCGAAACTTCTAGCATAATAGTCAACGCGAACCACTGAGCTTCTTAGAGACTCACCAAAATATTTTCCTCAGGTTTTCCTTGAAAGGATGTCCTCTAAGTACTTATCTTCTGTGACCTGGAAGAACTGCCTATCGCGAATGGGAGGTGGAACTTATGCTAGCATAGTAGTCAATACGAACCACTGGGCTTCTTAAAGACTTCTCAAACTACAACTGGCCTTCTTAGAGTCCTTAAATTACAAAATATCTTACCAAATCGATCTGCCCCAGGTGTTCGTTCCCGCTTATAGTCTCCAGTACACTAGTGAGTTTGCTCTTCAAGTACGCGGCGGCGGTGTCGGCCGCCTGGCTGGAGAGGATGTCTTCCAGGTCCTCCTCCTCTGTCGCTTGAAGGAACTGGGCCACCGCGAATAGGAGGTGGGATATTGGCTCCTGGAAAAGATGTCATAATGGATGCAATGAATTATTGAGAATTGAGTTATTTATTGATGACTTATCACTCTAAATGTTCCTGAGTTTTAAATACACTATACGAAAATACGTTTCTTGCGCTGCTTCTTCTCAGCGCTCACCCATTTATTGTCCCGAAGCAGTGGTAGGGTAGGGTATTAACCCTTTATTAAATGGGACGTGTAAAAGTGCTTTTTAAAAGCCTATTTGAAAAAATAAATGAGTTTTATGAGTTTTTATGAGTTTTACTTGCACCATGTAATAAATAATTGTCATCACTATATTACCCGTATTTATTTATTTATATTAGCAAATTCGTTAACTATTTTAAAAGAACATGTAAAAAAGTAGCAAAATAAGTTCTGAACTTCATTCATGTTTCAATAGATGTTGAAAATCAAGTATAACAAGAAAGAAAGTGTGACATCCATGGTATTTATTTCGTCGCCCGGTCCCGGTTTTTGAAAAGGGGACTAAACCGACCCGGTTTATGCGCAATAAGAATTTCAGTTACAAACCGAAATTCAAGCGGGCCAAGCCGTAAGCTAAATATAGCTAGACTAAAAAACGATTTACCGTCAAAACAGCAGAAACACCGCTCAACTGCACACACTTATCAAGCATGAGTGGCGGGCTTGCGGGGTCCGGTTCAGGCAAATACTTGCTCAGGTGTTCGTATAGCAGCTCTAGAATGGACTCGTGCAAGGCAGTCTTCTCGGCCGCACACTCGTATAGATCTGAAAATGTAAAATTAGATGCAAAAAACAAATGCATTGAGTCAAAAAAATAAATGAAAGCTAATTTATTACTCGCTTCTCATGAAAAAAAGTCTAGCAGAAAATAATGCCCGTTTTCACCAGCAATCCCTAATTTTTAAGTGACCCCTAAGGTAACACATAACAGGAATTGTTTTCAAAGGGGTCACTTAAAAATTTGGGATTGACGGTGAAAACGGGCATTAGTCTCCTAAAAAATTGAACTGATTCCCAAGTTCAAAATAAGTACTTTTTCTTTCTTTCTTTCAAAGCAACAACAAAAAGGCAAAATACATAAAGGTTATTTACTGCTGTATAAAAGCTGTTTAACGGCTGCATCCTGCACCAAGCAGCGGCGAAGGATTGAGACCACCTCCATACACATCGCCTCGTTGCGCACGCGAGAAGTCACTCTGAAAACAATGTATATTTGTAAGTGTTGTTAAAGTGGGCGTTGCTAAAGAACTTGTTATTCAAGTGAGCGTGAACGAAAGTGTAAATAAGTTGCAGGGAGTCAGGACATTGAACATAAGACTGAACCTAGAGATGGCTGACAGCGGCTGCATTAAAAGGTTTGAATGTTTTTATTACGCCAGGTGTACACCACTCTCGTCAAAGCCTCGTTTGAGAGCTCTTGCCCAGACTCTTAGACTAGGTCACTAAGTCTTAAGCCCATGTGTATGTAATTTCCACTATTACAAAATGTCACTTAGTACGCAATAAAGATTTGAATTTGAATTTGAAAAGTCTCGCGGGACATCCCCATGTGCGAACACGGGAGCGAGTGATATAAATAAATAAATATAAATATCCTTGGACATTTTACACTGCGCTTCTAGTCCCAAACTAAGCAAAGCTTGTACTATGGGTACTAGACAACGGATATAAACATACTTAAATACTTTTTTTTTTGTAAATACGTACATATTATATAGCCTGACCAGGAACATAAAAACCCTGGCATAGAGGCGCGCCAATTGCATTTGATAGTGCAACACTGAGTACAGTCGTACCTGTGTTAAATTAATAGGCTATAATTTTATGTATCAGGATTCAGGATTACGGACTCATTTGATATTTTCATAAATTAACGAAAAAAGATTATAAGGTAACCTGGTTTAAATAAATTAATTGAAACCATCAATCGAGCTAGTAGGATTTATTTTATTTTTCATCAATAATCAAATTCAGAACTTGAATATTCAACTACAATGTCTGCTCATGAACGCTTCAAACTCGGTACTTTTTCCCAATTCCATAAAATTCAACACTTACAAAGTGACAAAAAACTTTAAAATAGGTAGTTGAAACAAACCACAGCTAATTTTCATAGTGGACTGTACTATACGATAAACATGTCAGTCAATTTGACAACCTTTGTTGGAAACATTATTCAATGAAAATATTGTCCGAACCCTTGGTATTTCTCTTCGACAAATACTTTAACACATTGTGAACCACTTTTCTTTAACGACTATAAAAAGATTTTAGCAATTTCATTCACATAATCAATTGCGCACATTTAAAATAAAGTTTGTTTACACTTTGACAGCAATAAACTGACATGCAAGGTGACATGTCAATGAAGTTTTCAGTTACTGTTGCCATTAAAAGAAATTAGTACCATTAGTTTTCCGCAACATGGCGAGGGTTTTTATGTTCCTGGTCAGGCTATAAATACTTTTTTTTTGTAAATACATACATATTATACATAGAAAACACCCAGTCCAATACAAACAAATATGTTCATGCACACAAATGTTTGTACTGTGCGGAAATCGAACCCGCAACCTCCGGAATAGTAGTCCGTTTCGAACCACTACACGGCCGACTAAAGATATAGAGACACCCTGAGACTGTACACTCTAGCAATCGGCCTGTCTCGTGGGCTCTCGGCGAGATTGTACATCATATGCCGATAATGATAACTCATATCTAAACTTGTAATATTAATTACTTACTATCTCTTAGTTCTTATATTTGCAACTGTCCACATTGCATGCCGTGGCAGCCTTTAATTAAGACAGCACTTAGTTTTAAGCACTTTTAGTTATCATGTATGCGTGTTTGTCTTGTTGGTTGTCCTAATAAATAAAATAAATAAAATAAATTTTTCGACTCACACATGCTGCTGCGTGGCGTGCAAGTCCACGGCGATCTGCGTGAGGTACGAGTGGCCGCTGTACTGCGAGCACACGCTCTGGCTGTGCGAGAATGTTCCGCGGGATAGCTTCATGTAGCGCAGGTGTATAGGCTTGTAGTATACTGTCTCACTCACACATGCTGCTGCGTGGCGTGCAAGTCCACGGCGATCTGCGTGAGGTACGAGTGGCCGCTGTACTGCGAGCACACGCTCTGGCTGTGCGAGAACGTTCCGCGGGCCAGCTTCATGTAGCGCCGGTGTATGGCTTGTAGTATACTGTCTCACTCACACATGCTGCTGCGTGGCGTGCAAGTCCACGGCGATCTGCGTGAGGTACGAGTGGCCGCTGTACTGCGAGCACACGCTCTGGCTGTGCGAGAATGTTCCGCGGGATAGCTTCATGTAGCGTAGGACTGTGAGGAAGCCGGATAGCGCTAGGCAGCGGTGGGGGGAGTCCCTGGAATGGATAAGGACGATTTATAGACAAGAAGACTTCTATGAGCTTAGCCACTTAGCATAATTTGTCTAATTTACCAGAGGCAAATGGAGGTTTGTCCAACATTTTTCACGCTGGCCACATGGGTTGGAAAAACCTGAACCTGACGATATATGTCTTTCTCTCTAAGCTTCGGGGAAATCAACGCGTTAGCACGCGGCGGTAGCGGTAGAAATCAGATGGCGTTCCTGATTTTAAAATGGCGAATTTTTTCATGTTGAACGTCCTGGAACGCGAATGCGGCAGTGTGACCTTTGTGACCTTTAGCACGCGCAATGATTGCCAACGCGAGCATAAGATGAACCCGTTGATTTGACCGAAGCTTAGTCGCGAAGAGTCCTAAACTGTGCCAGAACCACACGGCTAACACGTTCGCAACATACGCCTTTGTGCTTAAAAGATCTCCTAATTTAAAATTTCACACTTTCGATTTCTAGCATTCGCGCGGGAGGGCGGAGGCCTAGGGCTCCCACCTGGAGTACAGGCGCTTGCGGCACACCATGACGAGCGCGGCGGTAGCGGTAGAAATCAGATGGCGTACCTGATTTAAAATGGCGAATTTTTTCATGTTGAACGTCCTGGAACGCGAATGCGGCAGTGTGACTACCTTTAGCACGCGCAGTGATCGCTACTGTGTATGCTAACGCGGGCGTAAGCTGAACCTGTTGGTTTGGCCGAAGCTTTAGTCGCGAAGAGTGGAGCCACTCCCCACTTCTATTCTACTGTGCTAGAACCACACAGCTAAAACGTTCGTAATCGTAACATACGTATGTGTGATTAAAAGATCTCATAATTTAAAACTTCAGAGAGTTTATATTCTAGCTCTCATACAGGGAGAATGGAGGCCTAGGGCTCCCACCTGGAGTACAGGCGCTTGCGGCACACCATGACGAGCGCGTCGCGGCTGCGCGTGCTGAAGTTGACCAGCGGGTGCACGGCGGCCAGGACTGCGGCGGCCGCGCGGTAGTCGTGCGGGGACGGCTGACAGTTTTCTAGGATCGTGGTCAGTTCTGGGCAACGCTCGATGGAGACCGGTGTTAGCTTGCAGAGCACGTGGAGGCAGTCTGTAAAATATTTTTAGTAGGTCCATGGATTCGGTGGTTAACACACTTCAATCTACATGGTGGAATTTTGTAATGCCACCTGAAGGGAAACTACTCTTAATACTGTAGATAGGAAATTTTACTGAAAGAAAACATTCCTTTATTTTTGCATAGAAATAGAACTGCATTCAAAAATTTTCAAAAAATTGCTTGCTACACTCGAGAATCGAACAAACTAAAATCTGTTAAAAATTACACCCTGTATTTTTATTGCATCGAATGTTAGGGTTAAGTATAAGGATGAAATCTCTCTAACAAACTTGATAAATCAAATGAAAGGAAAACCATGAAATCTTAAATTATTGTAATTATTTACAGAAAATTGTATGGTATGAGGGTAAATTTTCGAAAAAAAATTCAAAAATCTTTGAATGCAGTTCTCTTTCTTTTCAAAAATAAAGGAATGTTTTCTTTGAGTAAAATTTTCTATCTACAGTATTAAGGGTAGTATCCCTCCAGGTGGCATTACAAAATTCCACCCTGTATAGCTTGACGAAATGCGGATTGCGGAAAGCGGTCTATGCGCTGTAAAGCCGTAAATATCCGCAATGATAAAATGTTGCTCGTTTACTATGTAAGAATGTAACGTTAAACTAACATGAAATTAAACTCCAGAAACGGCATAGCTCTAGTGGTCTAGATATATTATGTAGTTTCAATTTGCTGTGTAAACTACTATTTTAGTAGCTTTGAAATAAAGGTTTTGAATGATAGCTCATAAAAAGTATGTCAATTAACTAGTGTCCAATCCACACTACCCCAGTATTATGTATAGTCATAATTTAAAGAATACATACCCGCATACTGCCTCTGAGCAGACTCCGTAGCCAATTTACAAGCCAGCTGGTTGAGGATATGGCCAGCTGTCTCCGGCTGCGACTTGCAGAGGCGCACCAGGATAAGCTTCCCGTGGGACCAGCACGCCTGGGCCACCGGCTTCGTCTTGTTGATCGAGAGGAGAGAGAAGGCAAGGTTGATGAGACCGACGACTGTTAGCTGGCGGTGGTTTGCGCTGGGAGAAGAAACATTAGTTATAATACAGGGTGGAAACCATAAGTGATGTCAATCGATTATTATTTGTTAAGTATGCAAGATATCGAAACTGGCGGTTACTGATCCTGAAAGTGCGTCACGAATTCTATCAAACGGTATCAATAATAGGTTACGTAATAATCTGGATCTATCCGAAAAATTCAACGTTTCCAGCTTCCATATATTTCGTTCGTTCATTTCAGCCAAATGACGTCCACTGCTGGACAAAGGCCTCCTCCAAGGTTTTCCACAATGCACGGTCCTGCGCTGCCCGCATCCAGGCTCTTCCCGCGACCTTTACCAGATCGTCGGTCCACCTAGTAGGAGGCCTGCCCACGCTACGTCTTCCAGCCTGTGGTCGCCACTCGAGTTTTTCTGCACCAACGGCCATCGTCTCTACGAGCTATGTGCCCCGCCCACTGCCAATTGATTTTAGCAATTCTGCGAGCTATGTCGGTCACTTTGTCCATATATTTAGTAGTAGGAATAAAGAATTTATATGAATCGCTAAAAAGGAATTGAATTATTAATTCAACACGTACCTCTCAGTAGTGAGAACCTTCAGTACACTGGCTATGTCTACGTCAGGCGGCAGGACTGAGCGAACCCACGCGGACTCCTTGCCTTTGAGCTCGTCTAACACCCGCCGCTCGATTGCGGACTTTATGGCCTAGAAAATAGAGTACACATTGAATATACAATATTGAAAAATTCAGGCAATTTAAGAAAGCCATGAAATAACTTATTTAACCGGCAGTTTTAAATTGCCAGAGCGAACATCGGGAAAAGTTTGTCCAACGATACAATTTTTCCCGATGTTCACCAGTCTGTGGTGACACCCAAAGAAATACTTGATAAATTCGAGTTCTATTTCACATAATTATTTTTTGTAATGTTTTAAGGACGGCGCCACGGAATGTCTAATTTTAGGACAATAACTCGCGGCTCCATTTCATGGCCATGATGGAAACTGACGGATTTTACAGGAAACCCACACAAAATACTGGACGGGGATAAATAGCTCTTTGGTAACCCACAAGTTAACGTTTTAATATCAGAAGTAGAACTAGAACTCAAGAATAGGTGAAACAAGCCTAAACTTACATCCAAACAAACACTCCTAAAGTCCGGTCCCTTCTCAGACATGGCCAGTGCCAAGTCCATGATAAAGGGCGCTCTGAGCAGCTGGGTCTTCGGCCAAGTCTTCAGGTGCCGGCGTATGACCTCTGGCTCGGTGGCGCCATCTGTTATGTGGTAGATGCAGGTCGAGAGGCAACGGCTGAGCTCTGCTGCGCTGTGGGTCACTGGGAATAAAAAGTTGTTGTAATATAGTTTAAACTGTGTGTCTACTTGGCATATTTAACAAGCAATACGGGTACACCCAGAGTCTCACCCAGCAGCGAGCGAGTTTCTAGATAGTATGTAATAAGAGACACCTACTCCATTGCAGAACTAACAAGCCATGCGTGGCAAAACATGTCAAGTCTTAATTTTCTAGTACACAGTTTTAACGTAGCGCGTTTTTTATTTACTCCACTACTAAGACTCCAATGTTAGAGCGCGTCAACTTTTTTGTAGGCTCACAAGCATTGTATACTATACATACATAGGGGACAAAAATAGAGTAAACTCACTCCTATTTGTTTCCAATCTTCGTACCTATTACCTATCAATCTATGGCGGTTCAATGAGCCGCCAGGGTTGTGACCTCTTTTGTTTCAACTTGCAACAAGTAAGTGGATCATTTCTTGTGTCTAGGATATGAAACAGGCCCTTTTTTCCCACTGGGCACTTCGGGCACGTGCCCAGGGAACTGCATCCGAGTGGGTCCCCGTTTACTCGAAAGACCTTTCTCCAGATAATAACGGCCCCCCTTGATCCATAAGTGCCCAGGGCCCCTAGGTTAAAGACGGCCCTGATAAGAAATGATCCACTTTCTTGTAGCATTCCTTACCTATGTCGTCTATATCCATAGTGGTGGACTCGGAGTCGTTCGGCGGCGGCTCAAGCTTGCTGTACAGTCGCACGCTGAAGTAATGGCTTAAGTGGGCCAGCACTATGTCCACATTGTACAATTTGCAAAGCCTGTGGGACAACAAAAATATATTATAATATGTGAAAAATGAAAATGAAAATACTTTTATTAAATAAACACGTAAATTACAAGATATCGCACGTTCATAATCAAACTGTCACTATACAAAAAAGTCGATTTTTCAGGAAAAGCATTTGAAATGCTCAAATTTTAAAACCTTTGCAAAATGAGCAAAATGCTATTAAATGTTTTGTTTTTTGTTAAATACCAGTAGTGGCTTGTTTGGCTTTTACGGAAATATAATTATCTTTCAAATTATCATAATGGTTTATTTAATATTTAATTTTTTCCCTAAAAATAGTGTCACTTTTCCACTAAAATTGAGACAGTGACAGTTTTCAATTAAAAACATGTTAATGTTGTATTATTAATTCCGGTAGAAATGTCATTATTTTCATATAAATTTGACGATGAAAAATTTAAAAATGATTATTATTAAATAAAACTAACATAGAGAAATCAGTAATTTTAATGAACTTAAAACTTAATAATTTGGATTAAGTGGTACCAATGGTAACAGTAATAAATGTAAATTCTCGATCAGAAATAAATACGTTACACACATGAAATTACTANCATTCCAATTCCCAAACCGGGAAAAGATCCTTCAGATCACAATTCTTACCGCCCTATAGCTCTTTCTTCCGTCCTTCTTAAAATAGTAGAACACATGATTAGAAATCGTCTTGAATGGCATTTAGAATCCAACCATATCCTTCCCTTATCCCAATTTGGTTTTCGCAAAGGCTTAAGCACTCTTGATAGTTTAAGTATATTGACAACAGATATCCGAGTAGCCTTTAAAAATAAAGAATATCTCGTTGGGGTTTTTCTGGACATTGCCTCTGCGTACGACAATGTTTTGCTCCCATTACTCAGGCAAAAACTGCTTCATCTGAGTATCCCGGAGAAACTGGTGCGTCTCATCTGTAATTCATTGATGTCTAGGTCAATTGCAGTGAGATTCCAAGATTCCATTGTTCCTCGTTTAATCTGGAAAGGCCTCCCGCAAGGCTCTGTGCTTAGTCCCCTGCTTTATAACATATATACATATGACCTCAACAGGACAGTGGATTCTTTTTGCAGCATTCTGCAGTACGCGGACGACATTGCCCTGTATTATTCCTCCAACTCTATTCCCGAAGCAAGCTCTCATTTAAATACAGCTTTGGAGTACCTGAATAACTGGATGACAGACCACGGATTATCAATATCCGTTCCAAAATGTTGCTGTGTCACCTTTACCCGAAAACGTTTTATTCCAGATGTAGACATATCGCACGTTCATAATCAAACTGTCACTATACAAAAAAGTCGATTTTTCAGGAAAAGCATTTGAAATGCTCAAATTTTAAAACCTTTGCAAAATGAGCAAAATGCTATTAAATGTTTTGTTTTTTGTTAAAGACCAGTAGTGGCTTATTTGGCTTTTACGGAAATATAATTATCTTTCAAATTATCATAATGGTTTATTTAATATTTAATTTTTTCTCTAAAAATAGTGTCACTTTTCCACTAAAATTGAGACAGTGACAGTTTTCAATTAAAAACGTGTTAATGTTGTATTATTAATTCCGGTAGAAATGTCACTATTTTCATATAAATTTGACGATGAAAAATTAAAAATTTATTATTATTAAATAAAACCAACATAGAAAAATCAGTAATTTTAATGAACTTAAAACTTAATAATTTGGATTAAGTGGTACCAATGGTAACAGTAATAAATAAATACGTTACACACATGAAATTACTATAAAATTACATCACATAAATAAATTTCTTAGAAAATAAGGTACTCTCTTGTTCAGGCAGCCTTTAAACAACAAGACCTTGATGACCTCGATGAACTTGACGAACTAGCTAGTGATTTTTCATGGGAAAAAAGCTCAGAGAAGTAGGTTTAAATTCTGGATCATTATCCAGCGGCCATTACCTCTGCGAGCTATTTGCCCCGCCCACTGCCACTTGATTTTAGCTATTCTGCGGGCTATGTCGGTCACTTTGGTTCTCCTGTGGATCTCCTCATTTCTGATTCAATCACGTAGGGAAACTAACTAAGCATCGCACGCTCCATCACCTTTTGGGTGACCTCTCAGATTCATAAAATATCACTGGCAACACACACTGATCAAACTTTTGTCTTGAGGCACTGCGGTATTTCGGACGTTAGAATATCACGAAGCTTCCCGAACACTGCCCAGCCGAGTCGGATTGACGATTGACCTCTTTCTCGAAGTTGGACCTGCGTAACTGGACTGTTTGTCCCAGGTCAGTAAACTTTGGAGTGTAGAGTCTCCAGATAAGTGGATACTACATGGACATTTGACATGTTTTTTGTCTTGTCCATATTCATTTTCACACTCATTCATCAGGCCCACTTGTTGAGAGGCTCTACTTAGGCCATCGAGCATTATGCCTAGATCTTCCACAGTCTCAGCCATGATTACGACATCGTCCGCAAATCGAAGGTGGATAATGTACTCGTTGATATTTATGCTAATTCCGCTCCAGTTCAGAAGCTTGAAAACATCTTCCAGGGCGGTGTTGAACAGTATTGGAGATATGACATCTCCCTGTCTCACCCCTTGCTGCAACTGGATGAGTTTCGAGTCCTGATCCTGGAGACGAACCGACATTGTGGCGTTTTCGTACAAGTCTGTCAACACTTCGATGTATCTATAGTCAATTTGGCACCGTTGGAGAGACTGTAGCACTGCTCAGATCTCGATCGAATCCAAGGCTTTCTCATAGTCCACAAACGCTAGACAAAGTAGTAATTACCTTGATAATTTCTTTGATTTTACTAGTGTTTGGATTGCCTGGTGGCATTTTTGTTAGATAAAATTATAACTACTTAATCATTTAAAAATCTTTCTTGTTGTTTTAATATTTCACTATTTGGATAAACACAATATTCTACGAAGTGATGAACAATCTTTTTAAAAATGTAAGAGAAATATTGTCACTTTTTGTTTTAAGGCGTTTTTCGTATTACTTTATTGTGACTTATCTTATGGTTTTGGAGTAAAAGCGTCTTTATGCTAAAAATGACGTTTTTCAACACAGAGTTTACATAACTATCACGGCGTGCCCGTCCAGATCCCGTCACTACTAAAAACGTGTCACTGTTACTCACAACAAATGCCAGTTTTCCCATTAAACTCCATAACGACACTAGTGATATCTGCCGAACTATTTGAGCTTTAAGCGTGGGATTTTTACAGCATGCACTTTTCGCGGAGCGCTGATAGATGGCGTTGTTAACTCAATTTCTCCCAATTTCGTATAGTGACGGTTTGATTATGAACGTGCGATATGTGCCGCTCTCGTATAAGGTTAACCTGTGTAACGAGAGTCAGGCTCCTCCTCAAAAAACATAGACTAAAATTTAGTGTTTAGATTAAATTTTATCTTTTAATTTAAATAGAAAAACAAAACAAAAATGTGTGTGTGATAATGTGAGTGTGATTTTGTGTGTAAGTGAATAAGTGTGCTAAGAGAAACTAGTAATTGTCGGATTAACTTTTCTAAAGTGTCGTACGTATATTGTTCCATCCATGTGTTCACTCAATTTTGATTGCTTAGTTACTTGAGTTAGAATAGAATTTTGAGTGTCGTTTCAAAATTCGGGACTATCCTCATCACACATCCTGTATACAAAGCAGTTGTAGAGCTTTATTACAGTAGGAATGATATAAATGATGAATTGGTATTTAATAAATCACTGGAGAGAGTGATGAATGGTCAAGAATGTTATTTGTTCTTGGTTTATTTGTGGTGTGCAAATAAAGAGTTTATTATTATTATTACTAGCTTTCCGCCCGCGGCTTCGCCCGCGTGGAATTTTGTCTGTCACAGAAAAACCTTATCGCGTGCGTCTCTGTTTCAAAAACCGGGATAAAAACTATCCTATGTCCTTTCCCGGGAACTATCTCTATGCCAAATTTCATCAAAATCGCTTCAGTGGTTTAGGCGTGAAAGCGTGACAGACAGACAGACAGACAGAGAGACAGAGTTACTTTCGCATTTATAATATTAGTATAGAATATAAATAATGATCTTGACTGGTGTCTGTGGTGTGGTAGTGAGCATGCTTTCCAGCTACATGGAATTATGCAGATGGATGGCAGAAGCTGGATGTGACTAGCTGAAGACAGAATATAATGGTGATATGCGCCATGAACCTATATGAGGTTCACATCTAACAGTACACTACTAGATAGGCTAATAATATATCTGGTGCTTGAAATAAATCTAAGCAATGTAACTTACTTCAAGAGTTGATGGACGAGCGGCGGCATTTCGTCTGGCGAAATATTGATGATGTACGAACACACTTTATTCACCACTTGCTTATGCTCATTTCGAGGTAACTGCAGGTCTCTGAAAGGAGAACATAAATCAAATTGTTTATTGCTTCTGCATGTACAGACATTGATAGAAAAAATCTCATAATTGGCCAAAAAATCGTTGTCTTTTTTTACTTGTCTCTACCTAGTATATTACTATTCCATGTTCATCAACCCTCAGTAATTCATTCATAGTATGATTTACTTACTTAAACATAGCCACAAGCTGCACCAGCTGCTTCTCAGTCCAGTTGCATTGGCACAAAGTGTGTATACATTGTTGTTTGTACTCATCAAATGTCAACACCGTCCCGCAGTGTTTGATCTCACTGCATGATGACAGTGCGTTCATACATTCTGGAAGGATATCTCGCCATCTGCAATGTAATTTCAATTTATTTAAATCAAATAGCTAAAGATATTTTGGAGCTACTTTTAGATGTCCATTTCTAGTGTTCCAATTTTATTGTGAAATCTTGAAAAAAGTTGTCTAAAAAAATGTACTTGAGGTGCTATGCCCTGTCTGTGTTAATAACAACGGAAAAGATTTTTTTTAAAACACAATCTGTTAACAGTAGGTAGACTAACAATATTGTGAAATACAAGCTCATGGTATGATGGTAAAGTACCTAATTATAACATTTAAACTAGATCATTCAATGCCTTTTGTCAAATTCAAGCGATTTATCACATACTTACATCATATTAACGTCAGAGTCGCCGATGATAGACTGAACGCTATCATTGCTCCACCTGACCAGTTCGTCAGCAGTTTGCCGGGACAGCTCCAAGCAAAGCCTGCTGATCACATCACTGCAGTGTGTGAGAGATGTAGACTCCTTCCTCATTGATTGCAAAACTATATCTATAATCTAGAAAATAATAGCAATTATGAATAAAGTACAAATAAAGTCAGATCAAACAGAATTATATAAAAATTGCGATAACCTGGAGGTGGTTCTTATGTGGTATTTTGATGATATTGTGGAGACAATGGTCTTTTTTATGTAGATAAATAAATAATAATTTCGCCTGAATACATATTTTTACTTACTTTAGCAGAATATCTACTTGATGATGAAGGATTATTGGTTAGCCCATTCAGCAAACAGTCAAGAATATCCGCCCCATCACTGTTCAAAATGCGACGTGGTAAGAACTTCAGAATCTAAAAAGAGCAACAGAACACGATTTATTGGTATAAAAATACACAATACTTGGTTTGTTTACATTGAATCAAGTCGATACTTGTCTCGTTGTATGAATGGGGTGACCTACCTGGTCAATATTGGCTTTACAATGCTCCTCTAGCTCGTCGCGCTTACTGTTTACATGTCCAAGTTCCTTAATTTTTAAGTAAATAGTATCCATTTCATTAAATTATTGTTTGATGAGAAGAAACAACAAAAAATAAAAGTTTTACCAGTTTCGCAAACCCGCCAAAAAAACACAAGATAAAATGTCAATTTGACGGTTGTGACAGCTGAAACCAGTGTTGCAATATAAGGCATCAAAGCTACTAAAGTAGTAAAATCACAACTCATACAGGTCCCCAAACATACAAAGAAATAAGAATTTGAAGAAGGACTCATACAGGGATACAGGCAGGGACAGGGTTACTAATTACTCACGTAAGCTTTGAACCTAATATTTTGTTGTTTCTTATAAGATACTAGCTTTTGCCCGCGGCTTCACCCGAAATTTCGTTTGTCACAAATTTCGTTTGTCACAGATCTTCATAAATTATAGCCTATAATATGTAATTCTGGGTTATAAACAATAATACTGTGAAGTTTCATCAAAATCCGTTCAGTAGTTTTTGCGTGAAAGAGTAACAAACATCCAGACATCCACACAAACTTTCGCATTTATAATATTAGTAGGAAGTAGGATAATATACAAATTGTAAAAAAAAAGTTATTTGAATTTTTATTTGTAGTAATTTATTTTATAATGATAATAGCAACACTTGTGTATTTGTTTTTAATTTCTATAAAAATATAGTTGGCAAAGAAATATAAATTTATACAGCCAAAACTTTTTGAAATTTTATTTGTTTTGACATAATACTGAAAAGTCGTCGCCTGTTCAGTAACGTCTTTTTGAATGACGTCATCAGTTTATGTTTAGCGAGCGATAGGTTACGAAATTCACAAATTTCATGGTTACTCGCTCGTTTTATGTACCAAGTTAGTGTACTACCGTTTATTATTGTTAAGTGGACGTATTCGTGTATATCGCGTATCAATAAATCATTGTTTACAACAGCATTGACGGAGTGAACATTACGTTACTTTTGGCGGCAGCACATGAAGCCACAGAAATAGATTTCCTTGTGCAATATATTGGGACGGAAATTCTTTGGACTTATTTGCATTCGGACCGGTTTGAAATGGGTCAGGGTTCGTGAAATATTGGGCTGTGGAGATAGTATGGGGTTGGTGTTATTAGCAAGTGAAGTTTGAGGGAACTATGGAGAACCCAACGGTTTCTGGATTGCGGTCAAGGTCGCGCTCGAAAACACCATTCCTTAGATCGAGCTGCGATCGCGAGAACTGCACGGAGGGTGAGGACCACGTCCACCACAAGTCTGGAAGGAAAACGCCAATTAAAAGGAGCACCCCTGTCAAGTAAGTGTTTTGATAATACAACCGGCATAGCAAACTTAATTGGCCCTAGAATTGGCACTGTTTCCCAGTGTTAAATCTCAAAAATGAATGAGATCCACTTTCTTGTTCAATATTTTCACTTCATGTTTATCAGTTTGATACAGGGCTATCTTATCTACATGAATGTATGGATTATTTACTGAATAACTATAGATTGAAAACATCCTTATGTTTGGTCATTATATTGATTTTTTTTGTAAGTGAGAGAAAAATTGCTTATTTTTCTGTCTAACTTTTTGAGATTTTGAACGGTTTCCACATAGGCATACTTACACAAAAAATAGTTACACAATAATATTTTCAGTTAAATGAGAATGTTTCATAGACCTAGTAGGTATATGGATGGGATTATGATGTAGTAAGCTTGTTATTTAAAGCTAAATTACTACCATTATTCAGATTATTAGCAGAGAGAAACTTTAATAACAAACATAGTATTACACATCATACAGCAGCAATAACCAATGTAAATAGGTGATTTCCCATATTGGTAATGATTCTCTAGTAGTGAGAATTTTCACATTTGAGTGTGAATCGTAAGGTCATTTCTACAATCATGAATTAAACGATAACAATAACTAGGTTACTCATGTTTGCACAAATCTTCAAACTGAGATAAAGATATCACATTTAGTGAATTATAAAACACAAGGTCAACAATCAAACTTAGTGAGGACAGTTTGCTTAGTGACGTCACTGACATTGCATCACTAGTGTCACCATGGTTTATGGCCATGGTGACCTTAAGCTAAGCATGTACTAAGCAAACATAAAACCCAGCTTAAGCGTTTGATGGCCATGAGATTCTACCATTGTTCAAAATCAGCTACTTGTTACGGTAGCTTTTTTATTGACAAGCCTATGAATTAAAAACATTTTAAAATAAAATAGGCATCTGAAAAGAGATATTTCTATTTTGTGTAGATATCAGACTTATTCAATTTTGAAGACTTTTATATATTTAGATGTCTCAGAAATATTATGATTCCTGTAACCTTGAAATACATGTACACATAAAGATAAAGACTTATCAAACAGTTTACTAATAGTCTGTAAATTTAGAGCTGAACATGAAATTATGTTGGTTGATTCAATTTCACACACAACATAATAAATATTGACTAAAAAGTTATCTAAAAACTTTTATGTATATTATTACTTTATTAATTTAAACCTATAGTATATTTTCTATGTCCAACCTAACTTTATAGTGACCAGCACTTTAAGTAGTAAGACTGCACCTGCATAAGAACTACAATATTCCGCTTGAAATTCTGTTAGTAAACGTAATTTTGTGAATTTTTGTGCCCAACTTAAATTTACCAAAAAAACCTGGATTAATGCAAATATCAGTACTTCTGTTCTGGTATAAATAAAATCTACAGTCAAGTATCTTATTAGAACACTTCTTCCAGGCAACTCGGCCAGCCAAGCAGTAAAGTAACGACCGAAGCTATAGCGGAGACAGAGGAGGAGCATGCGCCGTCGCACCGCACGCGGCAATCAACCCGCCTCACGGAGAAGCTGGTCAAGACCTCCGACTACTCCTCCGAGGAGAGCCTGGACCGGCTGAAGGGGAGTCGGAAGGAGATATTTCAGGTAAAATTATACACTCATTGATTACACGCTGTCGCAGTGGGATGTCCTGTGATGACAGTGTAGTGTTGTTGTCGTTGTAAATAAATAAATAAATTAATCAATCACACAAACTAAAACACCTACAAACTTGATATTTGGCAGGATCCTTATAGGTTGTAGATATTTACTAATATAAGAACAGATTTTACGAAACTCCATCCCTAAAGGTGTAAAATGGGGTCCATGCTTACAAAGTCAGGGCGGTTGCTAGTATTCTATAGAAGTAACTGTTTTCTTTGCCAAGCTCATCGTTTCCCCAGGACAAACCATCTCACTGAGTTGGTTTTTATTGGCGGTCAAGCTGAAGATCCTGGCTACACAGGAGTTGTAGCAATGGCAATGAGAGATAGGAATGGTCCCGTTTTGTCAAGACTAGGTACTAGGGTTCTATAAAACCGATTCCATAAATTGCGTCATAATCAAGATGCGGGTCAGTAAGCCTTGTATCCAGTAGTTGGCAACTTTTCGGCCTGCAAATATTATTATAAGTTTTCTATGATAAACCAAACCTATACAAAACTGCATACAATTTCGATAGTATTCAGCTAATGGATGGAGCCGACCACCGGGTCGCCGATTAGCATTAATTGGGCTGCCCTTGTCGCGCGTTTTCCCTGTAATTTTGATAAGGCTTTTTAACACGATAAGTTGATAAAACGCGCGTGTGTCGTGTCGTGTACGATTAACGACTACATGACATTATTAAGGCTGCTTACACAGCGACTTCCTCTTCATAATGCCACCTACTCGTAGATATATGTATGTAGATTTATTTACATTCAGGTTAATAACACGTATGGGAGTTATGCGTAAAGATAAGCTCACACTTGCCCGCCCACGCCGAAATTTTCTTTCCTTCTGTATTCTATCCAATCGTGACTGTACTCGTACTGCGAGAACGTTGCATACGATTTCATATTATAAAGAAAATGCTGCAACATCGGTCCCACTTTTATTTTCTTTGAACATTTATATTTTTATGCTGCTGAGAAATATTTAAAGCTTTTAAAAGTTGCGACGTCTTTAAACTCGGTTGTACGACTCGTGTAACATGTGGTTGAACCCGGCGAATAACCTTGCTATAGTTTGAACATGCGTCCCAAACAGTTTGGGTACTAAGCAATCTGATCATGCTGTATTGTATTTTCCCGTAATAACAATTTATAGATTATGTAGTTCAAACCATAAGGTTCAAAGTGCCTGAATCATAAACGAACTGCCCGAGTGGCATTCATTTCCTAAGGAACTAGAATTATGTAATCTTGGTAGTTGTGGAAGTAGATATTTGTGAATATAATTACCATTATATCCACCGTAGGTACGTATCTTACCACCGTAAGACTTATTTATGATCGCAGATGTCCGTTTCAAAAGATAAAAAGCTTTTAAAAGTATAATAATTGTGCGTTGAACTTGGCCTCCGTTATCAGGACTTTAATACAGCATACGCCGCCTGGGATGTCTGTACTGTATCTTTTAAGTGTTATTTGAACTAGCTTTCCGCCAGCGGCTTCGGCCGCGTGGAAATTTGTCTGTCACAGCAAAACTTTATCGCCCGCGTCCATTTCAAAAACCGGGATAAAAACTATCGTATGTCCTTTCCCGCGACTCAAACTATATCTATGCCAAATTTCATCAAAATCGGTTCAGTGGTTTAGGCGTGAAAGCAAGACAGACAGACTTACTTTCGCATTTATAATATTAGTATAGATAACGTCTATAAATAACAATTAAGCTACTAATTGAATTGATCAGACGCCCACTATCACAGTGGCATTTTATACAATCAAATTAAGTATCGCGTCAACAGGAAACTGATATCAGTTTGAATAAGAGTTGCCTGACAGGTATTTTTGTAAACACCTTAGTTTGAATGTTTTCCATTTCGATTTAGTCCAATTTACCTATAATTAGAACAAAAATATTGTGTAGTTACGTTTTTTTTTATTGTAGCAGAAACACCTCGAAGAAGAAGAACTTAGTAAAATTATCTGTGTAAGCCTTGTAAAAGAAAACTATTCAAGGAATATCAACAATATGAGGGTGGTAGAAGCCGCAATACCTTTTTACAGGAATAAAACCACTAAAAAGCAACAGTGATATCACTTGAGCTTCTGGTAGTCTACTGATGGGCATATGGGGGAGGCCCAAAGAACTGCCATTTTCCCCAGGCGATTTGATTTTGCTAGTTTTATTTTCCTTTTTTTGTTTCATTTTCATTAATATTTTTTACAATACTTATTCTAAATCAACACATAAATAGTCATACACTTGTAACAGGAAAACATAAACGCATCCAAATATAACTGAAATCTACTTCCCCCGCGTGGGTTTATTTTCGATGCCTCCATATGGGCGCTATTATTTCAAGCCATCTAGGCGGCGTTTCAGTAGCGCGTCGATTACTCTGTACTGTGGTTCGTTTGAGTGTTAGTTTTTAATTTGGCACTGAATCTTGAGTCTTGGCTCTTGACCTAGTTTGTGTATTTAGATCAGGACCACCAAGGTACGTGTTGCTATGGGAGAATAAATCGATAAACGTATCAGTTGTAGTTTGTAACATCGTTGCGTAGTAGTTTACGATTACGAGATGTATTCTCAGTCGGGCAAGGTCAGTGCTGCAACTCGATGTGCTATCTACTCTATCTAGTGAACAGTGGACGACTGTTTACATTATTTATGAGTGGTTCAGGTTAATCTGATGCGTGTTTGATCGGCGCGATCTTGATCGGAGGTGAAATGTCTGTGATGTTTCGAACTACTGTGAATACGGTGTTATTTCAGACAGGAAAAACTCTGCTTTATTTGGATTTAATTACACGTTATGCCTTGACTAGCCCGCGTGGATTTTGGCAGGCAAGGCTAGATTTTATCGCGCATTGTCCCTTAACTTTGTTGTTTTAACTATTCAATCCTTTATCGAAAACCTGCAGCCTGAGAGAACGCCAGATCCATTTATTTTAACAAAAGCGCTTTAGCAGTTTATGCAAGAAAAGTAACAAAGTACATAATTACTTTCTTATTGTTGTCTTTTTCTTTAATTTACATTGCATCGTCATTATATCGTCCCATTATTCGTCTGTAACACAATCATTACGATTATTTTTATAGCCATGCCTTGCCTTATTAATGTGTCTGGAATATTATACGTGTGTGTATGGATTAACTGTTACACTAAACTGGCTATTGTTATTCCGTACACTTTACAGTTAATAATTAAACTTCCGCCGCCACTTATGGCCCGCCTTCGGAGTATATCGGGCCCCAAAACCAGCGAATAATCTTAAGTGGTTCGTTACTGGAAGTCATTGCCCGATATGAAATGATTAAAGAGGATAGCTTATGTCTCAAATTAAAAATAAAAATACAATATAATAATACTCTTCATTTTTCGAATTCAAGCTCTCTGTGAATTTATGAAATGAATTAGTTATGAAGTAGTGGAAAGAAAGAAAAAGTTAACATAATGGAAATACCTAACTGATCGGTAACGGCTCAGAGTAGCGGTAAATATGTATATTATGTATTTACATACCTTACAAAAGACAATATTATTATGCTTGACATTGAATAATGCAAGACCTTGACATTGTCTGCAAAATTGTAAATAAATCTTCCTTATGAAGAATGCGACTCAACGTAATGTAGTCACCTTTTGCTCCTTATTGTTATTCAACAACATAACATTTTGCTGTCTGCGGATACAGACGAATCTTTTATTTTTCTTAGTTGTAATATCCGTGAAAAGTCAACTGTAGCTTTTGCAAAAGTATAGGCGTGTAGCCAATCTGACACCCTTTTGAGTCCTATTTCAAGCGTCGGAGAAGACTAGTTTTCACAATTTTTATAGCCCAACATGCAATGTCAAAGTACTTTGCTCGTAATAGTCCAAATCTATGATTCACAGATCCAGCATTGGAGCTATACAAACGTAGACTCTTCACGGTTCGATTAGCACCTGGGGCATTCCACGCGAAGCGGGCAGGTAAAAAAAGTCGATGTTTCCGATTTCAGTAATATTTGAGTATGTTCTACCTATACATATTATTGATACGTGTACCAAATATTTTTGTAATATAATGACTAGTTTAAAAGTTATGGGTCTTCGAAGTTTTCGACAACCGGTTGGCATGCAGTACTTCAAAGCCGATTATGGAGTCATAAAATTATATATTAAAATAATTAAACCACGGGATTTATTACTTCATTTACCGTGCTTTTTAACTGTATTTTTGGAAACGAAAAAAAAAATATATTTTCCTAAAAAAAATGCAAGTTAATTTTTTTTCCTTGATTTTCACAAAGTTCGACCCTTTCGATTTTTTTAATTTTTTTTTAACCTAATATAGGAACAAGACATATGGAGCCATCTATAAATGATATTTAAAAAGTCTTACACTTTTTATCCAGATACCCACAACATTTGATTTAAACAGTTTTTCTTGTTGAGTAATTTATTATAATTTTAGCTCTTGTTTAACAACAACGTTTAACTTTTATTTAGTTGATATTTGGTATAAAACATATGGATTCTATACTTCCAGGTTAGTTTATTATTTCTGTATTACTAAACAGTCTACATTACTTACTATGTTTTAGATATATAGGTTTGAATAGAAGTCTATATTTTAACAGTTTATTTTTTTTAAACAGTGAAAAAGTTCATGATCAAGCGCGATCAACCCGTCCCTTTTACATATTTCGAAAGAACATATCTATGGCTTTCATATGACACCAAAATTAGCTGCGTCAAACTGCGTCACCTAAACAAAATATTGCAAAACTGTCAATTTTTATGAATTTTAAAAATACTCATAATATGTTTTCAGGCACTTTCCAGAATAGCATTCCATTAGTATTCCCTATCCTTAAGATGTAATAAAACTTTTAAAAGAACCAAAATAACTTCTGCATCGTAATTGTATATTTTTTTAATTTATCAAATTTTTAACAAAATATTAGTAAGACTAAATACATCAATGAAAACATTTGTTAGTTTTTCTTTTTAAATCACCTTTAAACTATTATTTTAGACAGACTACAGCAATATATAGGCATAAACACACTTAACTTAATTTTGGCCAACTTTTGAGCAAATTTCACCTGTGTGCGGCGCGGCGCTGTACGCCACCCTTCGGCAGTATTTTCAGTCTAGCTCCTAATCCAATTCCACGCCCACTTTGAAAGTTGGCATGAATATTCTACACAATATTAGCTATTTAAATAAAAAAAATTAAAAAAATCGAAAGGGTCGAACTTTGTGAAAATCAAGGAAAAAAAAAAATTTGCATTTTTTTTAGGAAAAAATAATTTTTTTTTCGTTTCCAATAATACAGTTAAAAAGCACGGTAAATGAAGTAATAACTCCCGTAGTTTAATTATTTTAATATATAATTTTATGACTCCATAATCGGCTTTGAATTACTGCATGCCAACCGGTTGTCGAAAACTTCGAAGACCCATAACTCTTAAACTAGTCATTATATTACAAAAATATTTGGTACACGTATCAATAATATGTATAAGTAGAACATACTCAAATATTACTGAAATCGGAAACATCGACTTTTTTTACCTGTCCGCTTCACGTGAAATGCTCCACCTAGCAAATACCTCAGCACAGGCTTTTTGTTATCATAGCTGTTACCGGTGATATCATCACTGACGATGACGGATCTATGAGGTGTTTTTGCTTTACGTAATTTAGGATTGTGACGACAATCCTTATCAGCTTTATTACAGTGCGTTTAGGTTGATTATTGAACATTGGACGGGGTCCCTGTGTTGCTATTATTATAAAAACTTCCCGCCTTTAGCTTCGGCCGCGTGGCTCTCACTGAAAGTTTCGTCCTGTAAATGCTCGGTTTTGTGTTCACTGTGACACTCTGTAATTGTTTTAGTTAGAGGTTTATTTAAAGTTATTAATAAGTGAAACTTTCACTTGTGAACCATTGCATTTGTTACAAAAAGTTAGTGTGATAAATTATGAGAATGCTGAAAGAAATGTGTTTTAAAAAAGCCTGAAATTATGGAGTAATCTGGTGTCTGGTGCGGGAGGACAGATTTTGTTGGTACGACTGTGGACATATTATATTAATGCAATGAAAAAGCTTTTCAATTAACTGGTTCAGAGTCGTTCAGGAATCAATCAATGCGCTTCTTCAATCTTCATTACTTTTATGTAACAATTTAGAATTCTATGTACCTACCTTCTCTGCCACAGTAAAACTGTTTGTAATGCAACTAATGGCGCAGGCATGGCGCATACTTATGCATGATATAATTATGTATTTAGATTGTGAACTTAGCTGTTTCACTATCAATTAATTACAATGCGTTCTACAAGAGCTTAGTCACAGCGAAACAATTTCAATTATTTGCAATGTAAAATTAGTTTGATAACTAGACGCTTACGTTATTCTACCACTTGAAATTCTAATTGGTCCACAACAATGTCCCATCTGCCATTAACAAAATAACGTAAATAGAAGACATCTTGTTTTCTCGCTCTAGTTTAGGAGATTATACGAAAGAATGCGTGTTTTGTGGTTTAACTAATTCAGAAAACTCCATAACCGAGTACTGTCATTTGCCATTTGTTCTAACCGGTAGACCTAGACCACGCACGGTATTACCGTGCTTAGACAGCGCTACGAGTTTCTAGCGGCGCTTCTCAGCACTTGCCAAACATTGGTATCAACACTTATGCTCCTAATTTAGAGTATTAAGGAGTTTTACATAAATGTAGAGGTATTTTATTGTTTTTGTTTGTCCACAGAACGAGCTCAACAGCCAGTATGAGCGGGTGTCCACCAGCTCTCACTATCGGACGCTGGCGGACGTCACGCTCAGTCCAATCTCGCAGAATGTGACGCGCGACAGGTAAATTAAGTTTATGCTACAAGCGATGATAGGTAAATAAATAACATGTAACATGTAATACTGTGGCAACTTAGGTAGCTGAAATATAGTGGTGATTTTGCAAGAAAAATGTATAGTCTGATGTACTGCTGTCGAATGTAGAAAGAACACATCACCTAGACACTACACTACATTATGTGTAGCACTTGACACTAAATGCAGTAATTAAAAAACCTTTTATTTTTTCTCAGGTATGATTTATTAATCTGTTACTGTTGTTTACTGTAAAATTATTTTTGACGTCGTCTTTTTAAAATTCAATTAACATACCATTATCAATAATGACTTGGTCGTCATGTGCTAACTTTGGTCGTCCATATAACTAAGTAATCGGAGGTCAGTGTAATTTAACTTACATTTGCAATTAATTCCAACTTATCTCAAAGTTTAACGAGGCCACACTAAACTTAAATGTTCTGTATTACTCACACAGTTTAGAAACAAGGACGAAATTGTGCGGCATTCAATTGAACCGATTATTTTAACAAATTAACCGCTTTGGCAGCCCGGCGGAATTCGTTAATTGATAAGACGGCGCAAAGTCACCCACAGTTTTCACTTTTGAACAGACAACACAATATTATGTTGCAGTAAGTATGACAAAAGCAGTAGGTTCACTCAGGAATATTTAGCCGAACCAACGAACTCTTTTTTTCATCATTCCCGATTTTCTCACAGGAGAAGACAAAACAATTTTTTGTCATGAACATCATCATTATAGATCCTTTAGTCTCCACTGCAGTATTTGGCATATACCTACCTACTTCTCAGTCTTCATGGGTTCAGAGGGCTGTTCGTTTTTTTTTGTCCCTTAGTCACCTTTTACGAATGGGAAGTGGACCACACGGCTTTGAAATTGTGTATAACTAGTATTTCGCACGCCATATCGTGCCAGAAGTTGTACCTATCCTATATCCCTCTTTAATTAGTCAGAAAGTACATGTACCCACAGAAATAATTAGCAGGCCTTAAAAATACTAAGTTGCACCCTAAAGACATCAGCTGCGTGTGAAAAAATGTATGCAAATGTAATAAACCATTGTTAGATTTGGTACGATGGTTCCTTCGTCATTCAACACTATTATGCCGCGACACAGTTGCACAGTAGGCAAACATCCAATTTTTTCTTTCACTCGGTGTAAGTAGGTATTTACATATCGTCTGCTGACGTAAATAGTAAACATTATGCTGAATTCATTCAGATAAATGTTTCCTGCAGCTTGTGTGGTTTAGGACACTGGTTCTCAACTTGTAAATTTCAAAACACTGTAGGTATCTTATTATGGCCTTATTTCTAAAATTAAATTTTTGGCTTCATCATGCTCATCTTCTAATCAGGTATGATCTTTTCATATTAAATTGATTCTTGAGTACAAGTTGAGCATGCTAAAGCTGTAATTCTCATTTCAGAAACTGGGCCTTAGTCACAGACTACAATCATCATCCGTGGTTATCAGTCTTGGAACTGAATTGTTGTTATTAGTTAACACGGCTATTTAAAGTTCTCATGTATGTATTTTAGTTTCCCGATAAAATGCTGTAGATAAATTTTATTCAGAAGCGACTCCTTATCTTTATATACCGAATGCACATTTTCAGTATCATGTAACACTGTAATCCTTTACAAGCTGGATTAGTTTAGGCCGATTATGTGATTAAATTAAAATATGACAGCGTCTGATCCAGTTAGTTGCATATTCCTATATCGGCTGTATTCCGTTTTCTACCTTATTTCGATGAGTTAATAGTCCAAAGATCATTTTGAAAGATGTTATCGATTTGTAAGAACTATTTATTAGTCTAAACAAATAAAGAAATTTTTACTTTGACTTTGTTAAATATTTGCTCGGAAATCCAATTTATGATCGTTAAACTTTGGGTATCGATGACCAAGCGCAAGGTGCAAATAAACGACCTTGGTCCTCCAGGATGGTACGCACCAGCCGGCCTTGAAGTTGTTTTTCTCGAAAGAAATAATTCACAATACAAAGAAAGACAAATTGCAATGCTAATTTGGAAGCTAATTATTTTTAATAATAATACTTTTTTTTTTAAATACATAAATATTATACATAGTCACACCCAGACCCGTCACAGAAATTAAAATTCATCATTTCAATTTCTGCCCGGCCGGGAATCGAACCCGGGACCTCTCGGCATAGTAGTCCGTTCTGAACCACTACACCAAACGGCCGACCTTACTACACCAAACGGTTTTGTCGGTAAGCACCTGCCTATTTAGGTCACTATCCGATTCAGAACTTCGTATCCTTGAATTATTTTTCTAGATTGTGACATTGAAGCATAGACTAGCAAGTTTGAAATACCGCCAAGTAAAAAGTGGCTATTTTGTATTACTCCAGTAAATATGACTTTATTTATAGTTGCATTTCATAAAGTACAGTCATGCACATAGACTAAATGCATCTTTTTGACTGCAAAATAGCGTCTATTATAGCCATATAAGATGCCACAGTTTTATCCGTGATGTGCCGTTCTTCATACATGCATAATGTTGTTTTGATGAATGTTCGCTAAACTTAGATTTGGAATTAATTACTCCTTAAGCCAATCATTACAACAAAAACAACTGTTAGCCAATAAAAACACGCTGATTAAGATGTTTTCTCATTAATTACAGTCATTTACTCTAGTTTATGTTTACAATGTCTGAACAACATAATATTATATTTTACTAGCTTTCCGCCCGCGGCTTCGCCCGCGTGGAATTTTGTCTGTCACAGAAAAACTTTATCGCGCGCGTCCCTGTTTCAAAAACCGGGATAAAAACTATCCTATGTTCTTTCCCGGGACTCAAACTATCTCTATGCCAAATTTCATCAAAATCGGTTGCGAGGTTTAAGCGGGAAAGCGTAACAGACAGACAGACAGACAGAGTTACTTTCGCATTTATAATATTAGTTGGGATGAAGATATTCTCAACTGTCTAAAATCTTGAGATTTATAAGCACGCAACGTGCTAAGATAAATGGGTTGGTTTTTTGTCTTTCCCAGGTCTTTCCGCTTCGGAAGCCCAGCGTACAGTGCATGCTCGACGGACAGTTCGTTCGCTGAGCAGGCACTGGCGGATACCAGCGCTCTGCTGGACCGGGACCCTAGCGCGGAACACCTGCCTTACCGCCTGTACAAAATGGCCGGCGAGTACTGGAAGTGAGTACCTACTGTGCTTTTGGTTCTTATGTGTTCCTTGACAGCCAGACCTGATTCCAGGACTGAACATCTAACTTCATCGTGATCATCAGCCTATGGCGATTATCACACTGCACCGCGCTCCGCCGCGGTACGCGGGACGACAGATTTAATCATTATATGCAAGTACCTCAGTTTGTATAGAAAACACGCGCGGCACAACACACTGACATGACAACGCGTCTGCGCGCGGGATTCGTTATATGTAGCCACGCGGACCGCGGCGGAGCGCGGTGTAGTGTGATAATCGCGTAAAAGAAATGAGACTCCCTTGAACGCACTGTCTTTCTTCAGTCTCAAATTAATGTCTTTTAATTTAAAATTAATCGCTCGATTCGCGTAGTACATGGTGGACCGAAGGTTTATAGTGTACACTTCTAGACTTACACTTCCCCCAATCAGCGCCATTTTACCCTGTTTTCGGCTGTCCCAGTTGTCTTGGTTCTCTGTCAAGTGACCTTGGGTTTGCCAGGTGTGTTTCGACATAACGCCATGCTGTCAACACGCATATCTTTTAATAAATGCTTAGTAAAGCTCGTTTTGAAGGTTTATTTCTGACTCGTTTTGCGCCAATTCATAGAAGCTGCATTTCGTCTGTCGTCATCAATATATTTTCAGTGAAATAATACATTTCAACGGCTTTGTTGTTTTCGTTATAAATATCGGTTTATCGTTAATTGGAATTGTTCGCGGGCAATTTGTGCGTGTTACGTCACTGCTCCCACAAGGCACTCTGATTCATTCGCTTGGTACTGAAATAAGCACATTCAATTGACTCAGAGTGCGTTTGATTTTCTTGTTGCGACAATTTTATAAGTACACTATAATAATAGTATGTGTAAGAATTCCTCTAATATCCTACAAACATGTCATATTACAATAATGTATAAAAAGATCGTGTTTATTTATTTTTCTACAAAAGTCAAAAATGTTCAAAGCCGATACCGTTACGTCGTTGGAGTATGCGCTCAAATTTATTACAAGTTCATAAGGTTCAACATTCAAAAGAATTTCTGTGTACTTAATAAACATGCAAAATGGGGGTAGAACAAAAAACGTTACTCAATACAGTCACCAAAATTCAAATATGGCTCAATCGCCAGCTGGCTGGGCTAGCAAATGACTGTTTTAGATATTTAATTTGTGTTGTGTATTAGATTTAGGATATTGATTACTTTATTGTGTACTTTTAAATTATTTATTGACTTGTGTTTGACGTATTTATTGACGAATTTTAATAATCATGGCAAAAGTTGTGACCGTTATGGACGTGAATACTGTGCAAGATGTGTTTACTTTAAGGTATTTAATTGTTTTATTTAATATTTTTTTGTTATGGGTGTAGTAGGAATGTAGTGAAACGTAGTTTTATGAATTTCACTTCAGATTAAAACACACAGTCTTTACAAAGAAAAGCTACATAACCTTTTTATTTCAGAAAAATGTTTATAACTATTTGCTATTATTGAGTCACACAAGTAATATGTTAACACAGTCCCACTTAGTATGTAAAAATAAAGTGGTATTTTTAATTACTCGTGTGAGTTCACAAAAGAGATAACCTACTGAAAGTTTGTCCTAACTGTCAATTTTTTATTAATGGCGCCTAATTATTCCCAGTCATTTACGATATCCATCAAATCATTACTACTTTATTCACTAGCTTCTTCCCGCGGAGTCGTCCTTGCGCATATCATCATGCATTTCGCAAGCAAACTACGGACGAAAACAACATTTAACCCCCCTTTTCTTCCCTTCAATATTTGTCCTTCTCAAGGATCCAATACATATACCAAAAATCACCAAAATTCGGTTCACATTTTAGGTATAGAAACATAACTGACTGACAAACATACAGAGATAGTTCCGCATTTATAATATTAGTATAGATGCTATCTCTTTCAAATTCACGCTAAAATTACGAGAGCACCGACCGCGTACGTTCACAAAAACGATAACAGTGACAATACTAGAGCTCTCAAGAAATAAATGCGCTATATTTGTACGCTGGTGCAGGCAAATGCCAAACCGCGTGCCAAATGTTGGCGACAACTGCATTTTAAGGAACAAATTGTGATAAAAATCTGCATTTATTCAATAAAATTAAACCATGTCTCAATATGCTTTGTTCTATTATCGATTGTGACTTGTGTGTGCGAAGGACTTTCCTAACAAAAGGACATTAGTGATTGTGGTCTATCTGATTTGCATTCAACGCATCCAGTCATGTATGAAGGGCTCAAATGTACTGAATTTGTGAGGTAATGTCATCCTTTTTCCTGCTTCCTTCATTGAGGAAACGGGACACGTATTTGCTAAGATATAGCTTTTATTTATAAATAACATAACATACTCAAGAGTAATTTTTTTCTTTCGTATTTTTTTTATTACAATTAAATTATCCAGGATACAGTGATATCTTTTTGGAAGTGACTGTTTTCTTGAAAAGTTTTGATGTATCAATTTATTAGATCAATTAGTGTTTTTTCCCTGTGACGTGGTGCGAGATAGGTATGACATGCTTTCCGCATTCCAAGCTAGACTGTTAAAATAATGTTATTTATTTTCAGCGTATTAAAGACGAAAAAAATGTTTATCTCAACTTTTTGACAAAAACAACATGTGTGATACATTAATGAATATAAATGCTAAATCTGCATCTCTGTTTCAGCAAATACCCGAAGACGGACTACACGTACTCGCCGCTGTCGAAAGACCGCGTGGAGCTGGCGCCGGGACAGGTGGCCGTCCCGAATATGTCCCGGCGCTCGCTGTCCCAGTTTCGAGTTCAGGGGCCGCTCACCAGCTCGGATGAGGTCGACCGGCTCGCAGCCACCTGGACGTCCAGTGCTACGCGCAAGCGGTTCACTGTGAGTTTCTCTTCTCCTTGTCTTCTTAATGTAGGCGGTCAGGTCGACTGCTTGTCAGACGCATCCTGTCGTCGCGTCTAGTCGCCGAGCTGTCGCTGAGGCGTGTCGCCTTGTTATCGCCTATACTTGGCCAAAAGACGTCCACTGCATCAATCCCAAGGATCTCCACTTTGTGATTTCGCCATTGGACAGACGAAAGTTGTCTAAGTACCCCAAGACGGACTACACGTACTCGCCGCTGTCGAAAGACCGCGTGGAGCTGGCGCCGGGACAGGTGGCTGTCCCGAATATGTCCCGGCGCTCGCTGTCCCAGTTCCGCGTTCAGGGGCCGCTCACCAGCTCGGATGAGGTCGACCGGCTCGCAGCCACCTGGACGTCCAGTGCTACGCGCAAGCGGTTCACTGTAAGTTTCTCTTCTCCTTGTCTTCTTAATGTAGGCGCACACTCGGTCAGTAGCCTTATTCACGTAAGAAAACTTCAACGACAACAAAACACTGAGTTGCGATCCTATCGAGTAATAAAATTGTTCTTCTATCGAAATGACCCTTGTGAATACGGATTTAGAACTGTTTTTCAATGGGACGACGTACCAAACCTTCAATGACAACAAATCGCTGAGTTGCGATCCTATCGAGTAATCGTTCTATCGAAAACGACCCTTGTGAATACGGATTTAGAACTGTTCTTCAATGGGACGACTTCTGAACGTCAGCGAGATCTTGACTGTCAAAATACGTGAATTAGGCCACAGGTCGACAGCTTGTCAGCCGCAGCCTGTCACCGCGTCTACTCGCCGAGCTGTCGCTGCCGCGTGTCGCCTAGTGTGCAGAGAGCAGGCCACTTAGCCTAAAGACGTCCACTGCTTCTGTCCCAAGGATCTCCACAAGAACGTCCTTATGTCTCAGCATCCAGGCGCTTTACTAGACTAGGAACTTTGGCCTGCCTCCATTACGTATGTCGGTGCATGGTTGTCCTGTAATATTTCTTCCGTCCCAATGGTCATGTCGAAGTAGTTCTTTTTTTGTGATGTCGCCATTGGACAGACGAAAGTTGTCGCATTTGAACAGTGGAATCGCCATAAGAGAATGTGCTTTTAATTTGTTACACTTACATACGAGGGTGGTCTGAAAAGTTTCCGACCTTAACGTGAAGATGGCAGCACACATCAATAAAAGTCAGGGAATGTAATTGTGCATCTTTTGACAGCAACACTTCAAAGTTTCAGCCATTTTTGACGCGCGGTTTTTATTTGAAAGTCGTTTGAGTGAGTCGATGTGAGTATTTTTGTGAAAATGGAAAAAATCTAGTATCGAGCTGTCATAAAATATTTGTTTTTGAAAGGGAATACCCCTACGCAAATCAAAGATGAGTTAGATTCTGTGTACGGGGACTCTTCACCGTCATTTACCACAGTAAAATTTTGGGCAGCCGAATTTAAACGTGGCCGTAAGAGCTTGGGAGATGATGAACGTTCGGGACGTCCAAAAACTGTAACTACTGACGATAACATCGCTAAAGTTCACCAAATGGTGTTAGACGACCGCCGAATTAAAGTGAGAGATATAGCAGAGGCAATGAAAATGTCCAAAGAACGTGTTTGTCACATATCAAATCAAGATTTAGGCATGAGAAAGCTGTCCGCGCGTTGGGTGCCGCGTTTGCTTAACGTCAGACGAACGACGTGTTCGAATGAACATTTCCAATGCTCTGTTGGCGCAGTTTAGGCGCAATAAATCCGAGTTTTGGCGCCGACTAATTACTGTAGATGAGACTATGTAGAAAAATAAAAATAAATTTTAAGAAAAAAAATCTTGTATCTATGTTAGGTCGGAAACTTTTCAGACCACCCTCGTATTATGTCAATTATAGTTTCTGTATCTCAATCCACAGACAGTAGACAGCTCGGATGACGAAGGCGCGTACCTCCGAGGCAATGGCGCCTACCAGCAAGCGGAGCAGCGCTGGTGGATCACCCGCCTGCTCGTCACCATCATCACCACCATCACCAGCTCTACTAGCAGCGCGTATAGGAGGCTCGTGGGGCCCTCGCATCGGTACCCGTATACTGACAGGCGGCCCGCTAAAGGTGCGTATCTTCATCAGTGCGAAGCAGCAGGGCTACTCTGAAACGCTGTTTACGTAGTTTCGAATCTATCTGTCACCGCTGCTCGCGCTGGCATTTCGCTTTGCGTGAGAGAGATAGCAACGCGTACCAGAAAGCAGAGCAGCAGGGCTACTCTGAAACGATGTTTACGTAGTTTCGGGTCTACCTGTCGCCGTCGCTCGCGCTGGCATCTCGCTTTGCGTGAGAGGGATAGCAGCATTCAAAACTTCGGATAGCGTTTTTCGGAGTAACCCTGCAACGCTGGTGAATCACCCGTCTGCTCGTCTCCATCGTCACCACCATCACCAGCTCCACCAGCAGCGCGTATAGGAGGCTCGTGGGGCCCTCGCATCGGTACCCGTATACTGACAGGCGGCCCGCTAAAGGTATAAATAATTAAATATAGCCTAGGCATAGACCACCGAATTTTAGTTGGCCGATAGTTGGGTCGAGCTGTTAATCAGTATGGACATGTATTAGTATAAGATCCCGCTATACAACGACCTTCACCGAGATGCTTATTTGATGAAACATATTTTATATTCAATTTAACATGTCAATAATTATATTGCTTAAGGGTTGCCTAATAAATTTCAGTCCAGGATATGATTAATTAATCATTAAAAAAAGTTTTATTTTTAAATATTTCATCGGTTTGATTATTAAACAAACTCCATGGTATCTGCGCCTAGGCTTAACCAACCAAATCTTCTATCTTCTTGTCTGACTCACATCAGTTTTTAAATATTCAAAAGAAATCCCCAGCGCCTTCCTGCTACTTTTATGTTGTCGTCGGTCCACCTTGTGCTGGTGCAGGTAGCAGGAAGGCGCTGGACGCAGGCCGCTACCAACCGGGCAACATGGAAAGCATTGGGGGAGGCCTATGTTCAGCAGTGGACGTCCTATGGCTGAGATGATGATGATAAAGAAATCCCCATAATTTGATGAGCTAAATGAGATGCGCCCTAATCTATTTCGAAAAAAAAAGCTTTTAATCTTAAGATCCCTTCAGTGCCTGTAATGAACATTAATTTAATAGTATGTTTGTTTAGTGTATTATATTTTTCATTTTAATTTTAGCTGGCATCGCGACTCGTGCGGCGTCGGCGGCAGTAGCACCCTTCTACTGGATTTACACTATCATCAAAACGGTGGTCACAACCACCATCACCACTGTTACTGAAACGGTAAGGAACTAAGCCATGGTTGATTTATTTTTATCTATGGAGTTATATTCATCCATTACAAAAAGTAGAACCTATTGTAAAATTATCATTAAATAAAAAAGAGGGTTATCCCACCATACTTTCCCATCACTGCCACTTCTGTATAACCAGGATCTACAGCTTGGTCTCCAATAAAACCCAACCAGTAAAGGTTGAGTAATCCCAAGGGATAGCTATTTTCAAACTCGCAATGAATTTAATCAGAAGAATAACATCCTGTGTTTTTATTATTATTTAGGCAAGAAAATGGTGTACTACATACTGTGCAGTATTTAACTGCACAGTATGTAGTACACCATTTTCTTTATTTTTTTCTATCATACACAAGAATACACGTGCGTGAGTCAATGTTCGCTCGTACGTGAGGCCTTGTCGAATAGTAATCCTGTAGGGGGCCATCGTGCGTGTTTTGTTTTCGATGTAAACTCGCGGAGATGAACAGGCCTGATTATACTAATATATTTTTGTATATCTCAGTTAACACCGAACCACGTGGGCGAGAGTGCCAAGTATAGCGCTGGTAGCTACAAGGAAAAGGCGACGAAGCGACGCTGGTGGCCCTGGCTATTACTACTCCTGCTGCCCGCCGTGGGATATGGATGTGAGTATACTAATCTTATCACTCAGGCTCATATGGCAGCATTTAAATTAGTTGTTCAGTCAGCGTCAAACAGTTCGTCACGCCCAGTGACCAAAAAGTTGACAACACAGCCTTATTCCATTGTAACTAAGACGTGTTGCGAACTTTTTGGCTGCTTTGGGTGTAACGATCTTTTTGACGCTGACTGTACTAGATGGTATTTTGAAAGAAAAATATACAGGGCTATTTATAAAACACCAGCAACCTCCCAGGACTAGATAGCTGGCATCAGCATCAACATGACAATATGTGCTATCGATAGACTGTCGGTCTAAAATTTTGCTCAATCAATATCAAATCAATAGTGTTATTGCTCTCACAATATTTAGTTCATTGCGAGTGAGAGAGAAGCGGTGTGCTATGTAGTCCGCAAAGTTTCTCGTTAATAAATTGACTATTAACTAACTGACTGTTTTGATATCACAGCTTGAATTTATTTTGAAGTAACCTGTTTTAATTTTAAGTAATTTTTCTATTTATTTTCTGCTAAAAGTATGTTTTCTATATTCCTTTGTCTAATATTCTTTCTCGTATTTTAATTAGAAAAACATCTTGTAAATTAAATGATTCCTTTCAGCGCACTATACGTATGAGAACTGGGATGACCTAGCCATGCCCAACTTTACCGATTTCCAACTAGATCTCTCAGAGTTCTCTGCTATAGACCTGCCCAAGATCTCTTTACCCAACATCACTCTATCCGACCTGAATATTCTGCCTGATATAAACCTGCCAGAGATAAATATAACCCTGCCGGATATAAGAGACAACCTGCCAGAGATTAAGTCCTACACAGAGTACAAAGATATAGTACAGAATAGAGTGGCCGACGCGTCTGACTATATGAGAGTGGTGGCAGAGAGTTGCTATGAAGAGATGCGACGCTTCTGGCGCGGAGTGCTCGGATGACTATAGCATATCTATGTATTGAAACTTATGTTTGCATTTAGGAAATTAAAAGCGAACTCTGTATTCATAAACAGGTGATATTATAATGTAAAACAAATATCGCCCATTTGCGACGACAGTGTGACATCTTCAATTAGATTAACATAGGAGATGTCACACTGTCGTCGCAAATGGACGATATGTACTAAATATAGGACGTGTCGTATAGTTAACTGACTTTAAACAAAGCAAATTACTGGTTAAAACAAATTATTTTTTATTTTTATCTCGATATCTATCTACTTAATTTGATGAATATTTTTTCTTTTAATGAACGTTTATGGATACTTTGAAGATAGTTTCAGTGCGCAATACTCTGTGATAACATTATTTATTCATTTTGCACAAGATTTGTTACACAGTCACATTGACATTATTTATTAATATAATTTTCTGAATGCGAACATTTTATTTGATATGTACTTAATAAGAATATTTATAATTGATAATTAAGATATAAATTATGTGTTTTGTTGGATAGTCAACGAATTTTATAAACTAGATATAGGAACACCCGGATGCGATGCTATTATTGATGAAGAAATCAATATCAATAAACGCTTTCAAAATTTTGAATTCGAATAAGTTGCAAACATGGTTTTCTTGCATAAATAAAACCTTGGAGCAACTATAAAGTAATAAGATGGGAAATGATAAAAAGGGCAGTTTGAAATATGTATTTAAGATTTTAGCTGTTATAATTCCAAAAGAAACCTATTTTACTAGCATCGTGTCCAGGTGCTAGATATTTTAAAATATAATTTAATGTGTAATTAATACAGGGTGTAAAAACTAGTTGTGTTTATCAACCAATATTAATCTTAATAACAATTATAACATCGATTTGTGCCTTTACCAGCCTGTCTTTTACACCCTGTATAGTCTTCGTAAGATTCATGATTGTCACCAGTATTTTATTTATTTATTTATTTTCGTTAATTCATTCCGTAATTCAGAGATACCTTTATGATTAATTTGTATAATTTTATTTGTTTCTCTATACTAATGCTTTAATAATGTTATCCTTTATTGGATATGCAGATTTTATCGATGTACCTTAATCATGCCGTGGCCATATATTGGAGTTTTATTAGCTTTAAGTTCTACTAAATTAGTCTTTTAAATTTTGGTACAAATATTCTAACTGTAGCTATAATTTGGTTCTATTATTACATTTAAAGACTAACCCCTAGTCATATCATGATGTTAAAAATTTTAAATACTAATGCAGCCAAGTTTTGAGTACTAAATTGGCATCTATTCTATTGTTTTTGATTGTTTGTATTCAAAATTTAATGAAGGAGGGAAAATTCGTTGAGCGAAATGATTGTTTCTCAAGTGGATTATTTAGCGAACCCCATTCAGTAGGCACCTGAAATCAAACATTAGGTTTATGCTAAAGAGTTAGGCAGGTTATCACAAAACTTTTCGCAAGAATACTTGCTGTTTGTTTAGCAAGCATTCTTACTGAAGTTCACGTAAACTAAAATCCTCCTTTACCCAAACCTTTTTGTATTAAAGACTGATGCTTTTGATCAAAATTAGTAGTCATCATATTGTTTGTAAACCCAAAGATACGTAAATATTGGCCAGTGAGAAGATAGATAAATTGTAAGTTTCAAAATTTTATTAGTCAAAATTTTGTGAAGCAAGTGTTTGTTCATTCAAAGATGATGTGTTCAAATTATCTTGATTTTTCAGGTTTCAATTTTCATTATAATTTAATTTAAATTGTCACAATTATAATTCTAATGCTTTGTATTATTTATTTTTAATGTGAATGTTTAATGTCGGGTTTTGGCTTAGTGAAGTAATTTGATAGGTTGGAGTTAAATTTTTCAACAATAATATTAGTGTCAGGTTCTATATTTAACAGCCTGTATTTTTTTCATTCGATGTGAACTTTTTAAGTGGGGTGATAGAAACGTGATTAAAGTTAAATGTCAAATAATTATTTGTTTTGTAACTGCGCAAACACACTATCTTTGTGATAATAATGTATTTTTATTGCTGAGAAATGTACCTCAACCTATAGTATTTGTTACACCCTATATGTCAAGTATTAATTTATTTTTGTGCTATTAATGTGGGCTATATTTTGATTTAATTATACTTTTATATGCAACGCTTGTTTCTCTTATCCGTTCCCACATAATTCTTCCCTGTAGCGAAACCTGTTGTTGTATCTTGATAATCGGGGAAGGATAGAGGTCAGACATCACCTATAAGAAAGTGGACGTACTGCGGACGCTACACTTTTAGGTGAGTTACCTTTGTATTATACTTTACTGTACCGCTCTGTCCTTCCCTGCTCAAACGATAATTTATATTATTTTTTTTGTTAGGACTTTATGTGGGAAGGACAGAGATATCATCCCAGACTTAAATAAAGAGTATCGTTTTAATTTCCAGGTTACAACTACTCGGACCAAATATGGCCTAAAGAAGAAACTGTAATAGAAAGCACGTACAAATCCCCTCAGATATCTCAAGATCCGGACTTAAGTAGGCGGATGGCTGCCCTTGAAGACTGGGCGCTAAACGTCGACACAAAACTGAAGACCTTCGACCAAAGACTGTCAAAGTTTGACAACCTAGAGGCGCAAATCGAGAACTACTCATTCCGGCACCTGCAGCAGAATTTGATCCAGATTTTGAGCACGAATGACAACACTGAGATTTTAGCCGCAAAATTGAAAGCGCAATTCGACCGGGATTATGTAACTAAAGAACAGATGCAGACAATGAGTCAAGAGATCCACGAGCGATTAATTACTTCGTGGAAGCCAGATTTGGACGAGGATAAGATACGGCGGTTGATCCAGGAGTACTTGGTTGTGTTCGAGCGGCAACAGATGGCGCTACTGGCAGAGAAAGTTCGGGAATACGTGAAGGAGGTAGAAATCCATCATCATCACTCGGGAAGCGACTTCGACGCGGAGGCTGTGAAGAAGATAGTGGCGGCCATGCTTAATGTGTACGACGCGGACAAAACTGGCCTGGTGGATTATGCATTGGAGTCTGCAGGTATGACTATTTGTTTCTACTATTACTAATTAATTACTAGGCAATGAGATTCCTCTAAAAGATAAGTAAGGTCCTGTCACTCGCCAATGCTAAAGACACTAGCAAGCACAAAGCCTTTCTCAAATTGGAAATATGTAATTTCTATGATTTTTGATTGACACTTTCATAATAAGTTTCCGTATTTTGACTAAAGTAGGATTTTTGCAATGGACGTCAGATTCCAAGTTCGTCATTTTCCAACCAGTAGGCCTAAGATGCGCGCCGCGATAAGCGGTTATCACGCCATTTTATCGATTTTCCCCCATACATTTTGACGACAGTAAAAGTTATCACGGCGCGCATCTTAGGCCTATAGGTCAGATTTTGAGATTGTAATGGTTTTTGGTACACTTACCATCACATTATGTATTATGTATGCCATACATACGTATACATCACATTATATTTATCGCACCTCGTCTGCGAGACTTATCTGTAAAAGAATGCGTGACACGCAATAAAGACTTCCTGTGTTCTGCTACAGGGTTCACAACATTTTAATTTTTAATGTAAACCTAAACACGCGACACACAACAGGAATATTACTCAGATTTTCAACCTTATATCCTCTGCAGGCGGGCAAGTGATCTCGACCAAGTGTACCGAGCTATACCAGATCAAGACGAAGCAATACTCGGTGCTAGGGCTGCCGGTGTGGTGGGTGTACACGTCGCCGCGGTTCGCGCTGACTCCCGGCGCCATGCCCGCCGAGTGCTGGGCCTTCCAGGGCTTCCCGGGGTACCTAGGTGAGTCTATGATCCAGGTTCTTCGTTCTTGGCCAGTGCGGGCTCATGGCCCAAGCAGTGGCATAACTATACCATCCGAGGCCCGTGGCAAATTCTGGACATGGGGCCCTTGTCGTATCTAGGGTTATTTTCAAGGGGGGGAGCGGTGCCATCGCGCCCTGAAACATNCCGAGGCCCGTGGCAAATTCTGGACATGGGGCCCTTGTCGTATCTAGGGTTATTTTCAAGGGGGGGAGCGGTGCCATCGCGCCCTGAAACATCGCGAGGGGGTGGGGGGGGGACGATCAGGGTCTTGGGCCGGGGCCTCCTCGGATCGGGGGCCCGTGGCATTTTGCCAGCCCTGCCACCCTATAGTTACGTCACTCGGCCTGAGCTTCTTCTTTACCAGTTTAGTCTGTACGGTGTTGGGGCCATCACTAGAGCGACGGACTTTACTGCAGCTCGACCCTAGTACCATTGTCCCGCCCTCGGCGCGGTACAAGCGAGTGGGCGGCAGGTTGCTAGGCCTTCCAGGGCTTCCAGGGGTACCTGGGTGAGTCGCTTGACAGCTGCACAGACCGAGAAGAGCAGTATCGGTGCTAGGGCTGCCGGTGTGGTGGGTGTACACGTCGCCGCGGTTCGCGCTGACTCCCGGCGCCATGCCCGCCGAGTGCTGGGCCTTCCAGGGCTTCCCGGGGTACCTGGGTGAGTTAACTACCAAGGTATCATCATCATAGGTCACTAGGTCAATAGGTCACACATTATAGGCTCCACACTGCAGGAAGATGACCTCTAATTTACCAAAGAAAACCAAAAATAAAGACTTGGCCTACACTCCCCACGCTGGTGAAATGGGTTGGGGAGGGTGAGTCGCGATCAATCCAGGTCCTTCAACCATTAGCCAGTGCGAGCGTCGAGTTTTTTCTCTATCATTTTTCCCGGGGTACCTAGGTGAGTCCATGATACAGGATGATCCAGGTTCTTCGACTCTTGACCGGTGCGGGCTCATGGCCCGAGCAGTGGCGTAACTATACCATCCGAGGCCCGTGGCAAATTCTGGGCATGGGGCCCTTGGCGTATCTAGGGTTATTTTCAAGGGGGGGAGCGGTGCCATCGCGCCCTGAAACATCGCGAGGGGAGGACGATCAGGGTCTTGGGCCAGGGGGGCCCGTGGCATTTTGCCAGCCCTGCCACCCTATAGTTACGTCACTCGGCCTGAGCTTCTTCTCTACCAGTTTAGTCTGTACGGTGTTGGGGCCATCGCTAGAGCGACGGACTTTACTGCAGCTCGACCCTAGTACCATTGTCCCGGCCTCGGCGCGGTACAAGCTAGTGGGCGGCGGGTTGCTGGGCCTTCCAGGGCTTCCCGGAGTACCTGGGTGAGTCGCTTGACAGCTGTACAGACCGAGACGAAGCAATACTCGGTGCTAGGGCTGCCGGTGTGGTGGGTGTACACGTCGCCGCGGTTCGCGCTGACTCCCGGCGCCATGCCCGCCGAGTGCTGGGCCTTCCAGGGCTTCCCGGGGTACCTGGGTGAGTTAACTACCGAGGTATCATCATCATACACTCGACGTCAAATAAATCGCACCTCCCGCGACAAGCATTTTCAAACGTATGCATCCCCACTTCCCACCAATATTGGTACCATTTAAAAGCCTAGTTCTAACCTTCATTTCATTAAAGAAAAGGTTTTTACCCCAAAAATGTGTCTAGAAGGATCCAGAGTCACTTCTTCAAAAAATAGGTAGTTACGCTAGAGCCAACTTTTATGGCTATAAAACTGTTAAGTTGGGTTTAATTGCTATCCATCTGTTAAAGAGGGCACGTGAAATCATTATGTATTTGGTTTTATAAAAATTGGTCTAATTGATCCCATAGGTGGGCCCAAAGTGAGGTATTTTTTCAAGTCACATTTATGGTATATGCTAATAATTTATTAAGAAATTAAATGTGTTTTTCTTTAAGGATATTTATTGGGCTTTCAAATAACACCAATATTGTTGGGGCACCATGATTGTGTCAGAAGAAAATCGTTAAAGTTCGCGTCGCGGAAGGTGCGGTTTAATTGATGTTGAGTATAGGTCACTAGGTCAATATGTCACACATTATAGGCTCCACACTGCAGGAAGATGACCTATAATTTACCAAAGAAAAACAAAAATAAAGACTTGGTCTACACTCGCCACGCTGGTGAAATGGGTTGGGGAGGGTGAGTCGCGATCGATCCAGGTCCTTCAACCATTGGCCAGTGCGAGCGTCGAGTTTACGCTCATGGCCCGAGCTTCTTATCTACCAGTTTAGACTGTACGGTGTTGGGGGCATCGCTAGAGCGATGGACTTTACTGTTACTAGTAAACTTGACACGAATTGGCAAGGGTAAATGCGGTTGTTATGTCGCTGGACTACAAACGAGTGAGTAAAATGACACTCGCATGGAGTAGCTGAGGCTGAAAGAATACTGTTTGGTCTCTCTGTGATTGTTCTGACCGTCGAACAAGCAGCGTTCTATTGTACGTAAAGAAAGTCGATAGTCGCTTTTTCGTCCGCACTAAAGTACCTATCCCACTAAAAATGGCAATGCCAGATTTTGTATGGAAAGTGGCGTCTTTTTTTTTCGCGCGGCCATCGATCAAACTTTGTTTTTTGATTACAAAATAGTGTAATAAACCAAACTTACTATGGCATGTATACCTTTAAACTCAGTCTGAACATAGTTACGAGCATTAGAAGTTTGATGATTTTCATCTAGATTTGCTTTTTGTGCGCAAGTTTTGTAAGAAATTGCAACAAAATATTGCGCTATTTTTTTATTGCGCTGATTCTGCTCCATACTGATGTCTGGAGCCTTTAATGGATGGTATTGTTTGTTTACACATACAATCTCACTATTTTGTTGCAATTTCTTACAAAACTTTGCGTGCAAAAAGCAAATCTAGTATGAAAATCATCAAACTTCTAATGCTCGTAACTCAGTTCAGACTGAGTTTAGAGGTATACATGTCATAGTAAGTTTGATTTATTACACTATTTTGTAATCAAAAAAACAAAGTTTGGTCGATGGCCGCGCGAAAAAAAAAAGACGCCAATTTCCGGCATTGTCTTTTCGGCCTAATTTTGTTTCTATCTCCATTAATTGTGTCTCTGTCTCTTATTCCAGTGATCCGCACGTACGCCATCATCGAAGTGACGGGCTTCTCGCTGGAGCACATGTCGCGCCTACTCGCTGTCGACGGCAAGATCGAGTCCGCGCCCAAGAACTTCTCAGTATACGTGAGTCATTTTACTTAACATATTCAGGAACGTAACTAAAGCCGGACCTCCAGCGCGTGTTTTTCCCTACTTCTTATTCGTTACGCTCTTGGCAGAGCGGTCGTGGTCACGTTGAGGCGTTGTTCACATCGGTTGTAGAGGCGGATACAACTCTCCGCACGATCTCCCTCCATCTCTGTCTATTGGCAGACTGTCTAGTGCAGTCACATACGCCGTCTCCCACTGCACTGCTGCTTTCACTTGTTCGGTCCAGCGCATTGGTGACCTGCCACGCGATCGGGTTCCTTCGACTTTTCCCTTCCCTTTTCATTAGAGCGATCCACGATCATAACCTTGGTTTACACAATCAACAAAAAACATTGTTTCACAACACATTTTTGTTGGTAATTTTGTTGAATGTTGACGTTTTTGTTGATTTTAGAAAAACACGCGCTGGAGACCCGGCTTATCACTTATACTGCTTGATCAACTTATATTGCGTGTACATTTTAACCACTGGTATCTTGACATTTGACCGAGCACGAGTATGTTTCTTTTAACCGCTTGCATCTTGACTTTTTAATGTTCTAGCACTTGATCTGGGGATAACTGTGATAGCCCAGTCTCTATTTCAATCGATTTTAATTATTATTTTTTACTAAAGTTAAAGTGTATGTGTATTGAACTAAAACTTATTTTACAAGATCGATATCGAAATAATTAGTATTCATTTTGATTTTATTCATGAGTGCTAAAACATTTTCTATGTTGTAACCATACCACTTCTTACTTAAGTTTTCTTTATGTTTGTTTGCTCGTCACTTTCATGAAAATAAACTACGCAAGCGCAGCGAAAGCACAAAATAAAATTAGTGATAATGTTTTTCAGAAGCTCTTTTCTACTTATCTCTTAGCAGCATTTTCTATCTAATTTGCACTTATTTTTACCATTTCTAACTTAAAGCGTTCTTTGGTGAATTGTGTTTGATTGTATCTGTGTGTGAGTTTCATTATTTGCATGGTAATTAACTGTCGAATGCGTTTTCACTTACCCAACAACATTATTGTCTTTGTTATGCACATTTCTCATACAAACACTAACATAACACCAGCAGCACCTTATTTGTAAGTATACTGTTTTGTGTTTGATAAACTGCATTATTGCACTTTTTCGCTGTTTTATTTTTGTGAATGCATGTGCTTTAACCCATTGGCTATCTCAAAACTGCAACCTGGCCTTGAATTTAACCCATTGTCTCTAAACTGCATGAATCTTTGTAAATTGTCGTAAAAGCTATGGATTGTATGATTTTCATGTAATAATAATATGTTCTCGATGAACATGTTTAAACATTTCACAAGATTTAAAAATGCATTGAATATTTAAAATGATGAAGGTGTGAATCAGTAAATAATAACCAAAGGCAATAGTTGAAGTTGCATTTCGTCCAATACAAACTTTAAAGTTAAAACACTACATCACAATCTTTCACCAGGGTCTCCACGGCGAAATGGATCCGGAGCCCCACTTATTCGGCGACTACATGTATGACGCAAACGGCACGGCCATCCAATATTTCCCTGTTAAGTTCCCGAAGACGACAAACATTGGCGGCAACGAGTACCCAGTAGCCTTCGATATTGTGGAGCTCAGGGTGGAAAGCAACCACGGCAACCCGACATACACCTGTGTCTACAGATTCAGGGTCCACGGGAACCCGTTGTCAGACATCAGAATGGCTACCGATGACAGCATCAAGGACAGTGAGACGTAGCCAACAATTGGACATTAGGGAATTATTTTATATGTGATGCAATCACCACTTTTGATACGGTTCTATCGTGTTGATCTTTAGATTTAAAATTTATGAGTAATTAAGATTTGTGAAAAACAAAATTTGCCAGGCGAATTGATGTCTAATGAAAGGACCTAAAACTGTTTATATGAGTGATGTGTAAAATATCAAAAGTGGTGACGATACAATCGAATACGTGTATTGAACATAGTGCAGTGCGCGTTATCAATCTCGGAAAACGTCCAACGTGTGTTCAATTATGTAGTTACTGACTTGAATAGTTGTCATTCTAGGTTTAACAGAGTGGCCTTACATCAGTAACCGGTATATCTTTAGTAATAAAGTCCAAAGTACAAAATCTGTTTGTTAAGTACTGACTTATCATTATGTGCTTATTGTTCCAGCGAATTTTATGTGTTTAAAATCTCTTATATGACCGCACAAAGACCGTTTCTATACGCTTAGTTATTCTGAATTTCTTTTACCGATATTTATACATAGTTTTATAATCTATTTTAAGTTATATTATAAGACTTATAATAATGTATACCTACATGGATCAAAAACTAAATAATGTGTTATAAATATTTTCAGCTGATTCGTATTTATTATTTATGTTTGTAAGTAAGGACATAGTAACTTATTTGTGACTTTAAATCATATAAGGCAGCTATGTTTCTTTACAAAGTTTATGTACACAGTTTAGTTATTTCTAGAAAGTTATATGAGACAATAATCAAAATTATGATAAAGAAACAGCCTAAATTAGTATTAAGTTCCTTTCGCGTTATTTTAATTAGGTCGTGTGTAATTCAGCTAGATCCATGTTAGACTACGATTAATTTGAACTAGGTTTAATGAAGGAGCTAGTCCAGTTAGAGGTTAATAAATTTTATGCCAACGTAAATAAGTGTTTTCAGTTGTAAGTTTCGTGTCTCAAAGAACTAACTTAGTATGTAGTAAAAACCCAACGTCTATTAACGTTTGAGGATCTTATTAGTTTAGTCTTATTTAGTTTGTAATCTTCGGCTTATTGTACAAAAACTCATTCCGAATCCTATGTTCAGTTGTGTCCTTCGTCAGTCATACAGTTTCACAGACGAATTATGTAAAATCAAAAGTTCAGGCTTAAGTACTTGAGAAATGACTGCTAATTCAATACATATGTAGAAGATACCTATCTTAGGATGTAATATTTTTGAATTGCATCTGCAAAAGCAATCTTGATTTCACATATAAGGAACTTTGTTCACTAGATGTTTTAGTGTTCGTACTGAATTACTGATGCATTTAGGTAGAATCTCGTCCTAACTGTTCCTCCGGCCGAATTCAAAAGGTGCTGCGCCGGAAAAAACTTAAATATTTGTCTGTTTTTTTAGATCCTCGGAATTTAAATTAAGTTAAGATAGTAGCCGTTGATATTACACGATATTCATTACTTTTAGAAGTTACCACTAACACTTTCTGACAGCACACTTGTAACATTTTATAGCACTTTGTAACAAGCGAAATTGTATATTTTTGATATCACCCGACCCAATATTCACCCTTGTTTCCACTAATCAGTATTGATGAATCTGATATCAAACTTCAATAACTATTTACCTAAAAATTGGGATCTATTGATGGTTCAGCCTTTTTTGGTTTGAAAAATATTAATAAAACAACTCATTTTTATAATAACCCAGTGAACTCATGAGTTAGCTACTTAAATTGCTCCGGGTGGCTTAATGCAATTTATTTACCAAATATAATATTCTTCGTATCTATTTATTGTTTTTATCGAATATTTATGGAACTTTTAGCAAGTAGAATTTGTACGTTTAATATAAATGTGAAACTAAAAACACGGTAATTAATGTGTACTGTTTTATTGTAAATTCACATTCACAATGACTGTTCTGTAATAATATTTTATTAAAAAATTGTGGTTCCTTTTTCATGAATTTACTAACAGAACTTTTTAAAATCTTTGTTATTTATTATGCACTGATTTTTTTAACTAACTTTCATTTGTCTGCTTTTAACTGTGGGAAATATAATGATAAATAAAATGTTTACTAAAGATTATAAATAGTTTTATTTTATATTATTTATTATAAACTTCAACCATGATTATTTTCGTCATTATTCAATTTCATCTTTAGTTGTGACTTTCATCGTAGAACTTTGATATTTGCTTGTATTTTGATTATCCTGACTGAATTCAGAGCTATGTCCGAAAGGAGAATTCAACGTATTTTCCTCTAAAATTTGATTTGCTAAAGACCACACTCCCATCTTAAACTGTCGCTTTTGTTCGGGCGTCATCTCCTTCATTTCTGGCAGTATACTATGAAAAAATAATAAATCTGGGTCTTGAACGTCAACAGACTTATTTTTCTTGTGCAAATGTGGTTTTTTATTATCATGTTCAGTCGAAGTATTAACACTATTATTTTGTATAAGATCTGTCTCAGATATTCTTCTAGAGCGCTTATAACTTTGATCCGACTCAAAATCTTCCATTTTGATCCTCTTACTCAATTTAATTTTTTTACAAGAGCTATCGTCCGTTTCATTTTTTAATAAGTTCTTCCATCTATCTTTATAAGGACCTGAAATATTAAAGTAAATAATTAATTTAAGAACAATACAAATAATTAACCTACATAGACTAAATATTTACAAATAAAAAATATGTCCCAAATCGCTGTCCAAACAACGCGACATGGTGCCCAGAATGCTGGCTGCATTTCCGCGCTGAATGGCCAAACTGATAATTAATTTTAATTACCATACTCAAATCATCCGAACTTAAATTTTAGAATTTCTTAATGAAGGATATGTTATTAACCTGTTGCCATTTCAGCTTCTTCATCTGAAATCAGGTGTATCTCATCAGGTCCAGACTCCTGAGGCTCTTCCGACTGAGATCTATCCTCATCCTCCACCAATTCCTCGTCAGATCCAGTTTCATAGTCCAGCCATTCCACCTCTAGTGAAGGACGCTGGGATTTCACTCTCGAAGCTCCAGCAGTATTTGTTTGCGTCTGAAAGTAATTTCTTACATTATCTCAACGTTACCAATATTCTTTTAATAAATTGAATTTTTTTTACTTATATTTATATTAAAAATAATTTTTATAAAATTATAACATACCGCTGCTTGATAAAAAGTTAACTTATGGTATAATTTCTTATAAAATGGTTTTTCAATAAACTTACTTTTGTAAAGTCTGCATCGCGTTCTTCAGTTTCAGTAGACACATATCCAATTATTTCTAGGAATCGCTGCTCTAAATCAGTTAAAGGCAATAATCTCCTGCTTAAAGGGGTTCCTCGTCTTTGGTCTGCTGCCTTAGTTTTGAGCTTGGCTTTATATTCTACCCAGTACTGGAAAAACATTTACAGAATTATAATAGTTTCAATTTATACTTTTATCTTTTAATAATTGCATTATGTGTAGAAGTAAAAGCATAGCGAAAGCTGTTTGACTTGAAATTAAAGTTTTCATGTAGCAAATGTAAACTGCTTCAAAAATATCTCACCCTACGCCACTGTTCAGGCGTTTTCTTCGTCCCAGCTGCGTTAAGCTTTTTGGATACTGCTTCCCAAGCTAATCTTGCATCCTGTTGGCACAGTGGTGTTGAAAAAGTAGCGCGACCCAACGCAACATGTTTATTTGTTTCAGCGAACTTCGCCAGTATTTCCATTTGATACAAAGACACTTTTCTATGCGGGGCCATCTATAATAAAAGTTGGTATTAATGTAAAAGTTATCATGATAATTTTTAACAAGGTTGACATCAAAGTAGATGAACAGTAGATGTTAATTATTTAATTGATAAGGTGGCGTATCGAAAATTAGGATAATCTAGATGGCGACAAAACAGCTAAAGTATTAAGGCATAATTTTGTATAACAATAACAGAATTTTCAATCGTCTTACTTTTAGTTGATAACTAATACACCCAAATACACCATTTACTACAACTCACTACAACTGAATCGAGTTGCAAATGCTTGGCTTGCTGTCAGATCTGTCACTAAAATTATACGGCTAAAACCGAAAGTGATAAAGGCATCCCCATTTTAGTGCTTCGGACTTCCAAAGGGACGCATATACAACGACTTTTAATTTGGACGGTTTAAAGCAAAAAAAAAAAGAAGTGGCATTACTTTTGTAATGCACACTATTTGCCTTTTGTCACGTGTATAAAATCAGAAAAAACTTGATATTGTTAATCAAACATTATAAGAAAAAATATTTGATTAAATAAATTTACGATTACGTTTTTACAAAGATTTTTGCGTTATTGATTAATGTTCTCACTCTCAGGCATTTTGCACTAGATGGCGCTAGTCGTCAAATTAATTAATGTGACCTGCACCACCTGCACATTCTTTTAACATTTCATCTAAAACGGCTAGTACAATGAGTATACAAAAACGCACCTTTTCAAGCACCGTACACTATGTCAGGAAACATACTGTGCTCTGTTCGCATGATTGGAACTTTCTCAATGAGTTCAACTTTTCCAACATAGCCCAGTACCCAGTATCCTATCTTACCCAGAAACGAAGTCCAAAATAAACCGCTAGTGGGCAGCACACCTAAAACACCATTTTGAGAGCTAGCATTCCCTGTTACAGTTGTTACTAAACCCCTGTACACTCCCTGCCTGTTTGTCCCATGATCAAGGCTTATATCGCTCCCTAGCGATAAGACCGCCTATTTTGATTTTATTTTTTATCGGACCTCTTGCGCCTATACAAACATGGTACCTACGTACTTGATTATTCAAAGCATCTTTCTTTTTCAAATTCAACAGACATGGCTGAACCGATTTTGATGATGTCGTTCTCGAGTCCAAACTATAATTACGTCCATTGCAGGGTCTCATATGTTTCAAGATGTTAATCTGGTATTTTTGTTTGTATGTTACGGTTAATGTGATAAATTGAAAATTATTAATAATAACCGGTTATTATGAATAATTCCCGACAGTCGCGGTGAAAGTGATAAATTAATCACATTTAACAGTGATTATTTAATAATTCAACCTTAGTACTAACAAATTTCATAAAAGAGAACATCTTGTGTACGTGCTCGTGTACAGCCAAACTTTTGAACGTTTTGATATCATATATTAATATAATTTGGCATAATGAGTTTGGAATGTTTTTTGCATAATATTACTTTTCCATGATGCCTATAACATAATGTTTTGATTTAAAGTGAAAAATAGGTTAAGGTGCGGCGGGGGTGGCCCTTGGGCCACCGCTAAGCCGCCTATTTAGTTTTATACACACATAAATGACCTCATATTAATCACATTTACCAAATCATGCGGTAATTATTCATAATAACCGGCGATTATTCATAATTTTCACATTTATCACTTTGACCGTAACATGTACACCCTTTGATGTTTATGGTGTATGATGCTAGGCATTATAGGTTTAATTATTTTCAGCCTTCAGTGTGTACCTAGATTTAGAAATCTTAAGTTCTCTTGTGTAAGTTATTTTTAATTTCATTTGTGTTGATAAATGCAAGTGTTGTATGCATGTTTACATGTGACCTATCGTGTTATTTTTTGGTGTGTTACTCGTCAGTCGTGAGTGAAATGGGGCAGTGGATCAAAGGAAAAACAGATTAATTTTTCGGATTTTTTTTTTGTATTTTCATATTTTTTATAATTTATAAATGACCTAGTAAGAAAGTAGTCTTATCCGTTTCAGCACATACAATCATCATTCATGAGATTACAAAAAGATCCTTTGGCGAGTGCAGTACCGAGGCCGGCGGTCGAGGCGCGCCCGCGGCGCCGCGCTCCGTCCTGCCGTCACTATTACGATTTAATTACAATAATATCTTACGTACAATTAAATTAACTGAGATTACAAGCCTGAGTGTGCAGCCGGCCGCGGGCCCGGCCGGGCCGCAGCTGCGGAGCGAGCCAGCGCGCTTAGAAGCACTTCCTGTGCACGATAGACGGGCCGGACTCATCGTATTCCTGTTTCGAGATCCACATCTGTTGGAAGGTCGAGAGGGACGCGAGGATCGATCCACCGATCCATACGGAGTACTTCCTCTCGGGCGGGGCGATGATCTTGATCTTCATCGTGGATGGCGCTAATGCAGTAATTTCCTTCTGCATGCGGTCGGCGATGCCGGGGTACATGGTGGTACCGCCGGACAGTACTGTGTTGGCGTACAGGTCCTTACGGATGTCGACGTCGCACTTCATGATGGAGTTGTACGTCGTTTCGTGGATGCCGCAAGCTTCCATACCCAGGAACGAGGGCTGGAAGAGAGCCTCTGGGCAACGGAATCGCTCGTTGCCGATGGTGATGACCTGACCGTCGGGGAGTTCGTAGGACTTCTCGAGCGAGCTGCTGGAGGCAGCGGTGGCCATCTCCTGTTCGAAGTCGAGGGCGACGTAGCAGAGCTTCTCCTTGATGTCACGTACGATTTCTCGCTCAGCGGTGGTGGTGAACGAGTAACCACGCTCGGTGAGGATCTTCATCAGGTAGTCTGTGAGGTCACGGCCGGCCAAGTCCAGACGGAGGATGGCGTGGGGCAGGGCGTAGCCCTCGTAGATGGGCACTGTGTGGGACACGCCGTCGCCGGAGTCCAGTACGATACCGGTGGTACGACCGGACGCGTACAGGGACAGCACAGCCTGGATGGCCACGTACATGGCGGGTGTGTTGAAGGTCTCGAACATGATCTGTGTCATCTTCTCTCTGAAATAGGAAAAAACAAAAGAGTTAGTTGATTGATAAGGTATCTTCACTCTTGATTCTAAATGAATCTATTTTAATCAAACTGACTTAATTTTGTGGAAACTGAATGAGAGAAAAGATAAGTACACACCTGTTAGCCTTAGGGTTGAGGGGTGCCTCTGTGAGAAGGACTGGGTGTTCCTCGGGGGCGACACGGAGTTCATTGTAGAAGGTGTGGTGCCAGATCTTCTCCATGTCATCCCAGTTCGTGACGATTCCGTGTTCGATGGGGTATTTCAGAGTGAGGATACCTCTCTTGCTCTGGGCCTCGTCACCGACGTACGAGTCCTTCTGTCCCATGCCAACCATCACACCCTGGTGGCGAGGGCGGCCCACGATCGATGGGAACACGGCGCGGGGCGCGTCGTCACCCGCGAAACCGGCCTTGCACATACCGGAGCCATTGTCTACGACCAACGCAGCAACTTCTTCGTCACACATTGTGAATTAGTCTGTAAAGAAAAACAAAGATTGTAAGTTAACATCATAGTATCAATTCTAAAATATCAAAGAGGACAAAATTCCTAATCGGGTTGTTTGAGTAATTATTTAAAGTGGTCGTAGGTAGAATGCCTACGCGAATAGCCATGTCACAAGTGCTGAAGTGGGCGACAGTCGCCTGGACACCAAATAAGGCTTGCTTAGCGCGAAGCGGCAATGCGTGGACGTGGAGTATGGCACCACCGGCGAAACAACATTTCACCGAGTCTGCTCTTACTGACCGAGATTCGATGCAACTAATTTCTCATATAAAAATTTACTTTCCAATTCGAATCTTATTTGAGATTTGAAAGAACTGTTTGTAATTTGGAAACAAATTGAGTTAATTAGAATTGAGGGTTGAAACTAATTCACGGCCACGCCCTACCGCAACCGGCGATTCCCGACTCCCGGAGTCGTGCGACCCGATAAAATGTCACTGACCGCGCACACACAAATTATTGCACTAATTCCTCACAGCACTATCACAATCTTATCACGCTACAGAATTGCACGATGGAATCCAGTTATCAACTTACTTTTAATTTAAATATTCCTATTATAAATAAATAAATAATCTGCTATTGCACAGCCTCGGTAGCGCTGCACAACACCTCAACTCGAGTTCACTTCGTGGAATGTCGGCGAGCGAGGCAAGCGGAGTATATAAATGAGGCTGATTATCGGGGCGCCCCTTCCCCGCAGCGGCGGCTGTCGACCAATCAGACACAAGTTGGGGATTCGTGGCCATATATGGTATTCCGCTACAGGGAGCCTGCGCGTACCCCCCGCAGCCTACGCACCCCCCGGCGCTGAAACCGCGCGCCGCGGCTTGATAACGTCGAGATTCTCGCCGCACCACACATTGAACACCCGGCGACCAGACAGAAGGAGTCTGCTCGGGATAGGGATTTATTTACAGATGCGCAACTAACTAAACAGATAGGTAGGTACACACTAACTAAAGTTTAAATTTTGACATCATCCCAAATGCAGATCAATGCACTGACCGGACCCATCGTTAACGTTCTTGGACACTTGGTGAAATGACACTTTTATACACACAAATGGTTACGGTTAATTGGCTCAGTTCACACGCTTGCGAAATTCATAATAATTATGATCTACCCACATTTTTCATCAAACTTGTTCACGTAATCAAATTTGACAGGTCTTATTGGGATGCGTTTGTGATAGAGTTATCACTTTAACAAGAGGCAAATTATTTATTTCGATCAATTACCAGTTAAAATAGATTAACTAGGAAATAATTATGCACTTACCAGTTAATTAGCAGCGACACACAATAACAACGCGAACCACGTTCCGAGAGAAACGCCGGCCGGTATCTTTCTGTCGCCTCGCGCTCGTTCGCTCGAGTGGAGGTCGCTTTGCTTCACTACGCCGGCGCCACGACAAAATAGACTCGCCCAACGGACCCCTACCAGTGCAAAATTATTTCAAAATTTCAAGAAACTACGCCTCGAAATTCATCAAAACGACATACTAAACATGACCACTGACATTCTTAATTGACACATGTCAAGCATTTGTTTGCTATTCGAAATTGGAATGCTATTATTTTTCGCTCCAATTTGGACTCGCCCGACCTCCCCACTTGCGGCAAGTGATGGCTTTGCCATATAAGGTAATCGGCATAACCCGGGCTTCTGATTGGTGGACGGGCCCAACGGTCGTCGTACAGACGTGGCGCACACAACCGCAAGACGCTCTAGTATTTTGTCTGTAGTGTTTGTGTTTAGTACGAACGAAATGATTTCATT